CTTCTATTAAGTTTTTTAAATAATTTTTTGTTATTTTTAATGTGTCGCCATTATAACTACGAAAAATATGTTCCAGTTCACTACATACTACATACATCCAAAGTAACTTTTTTTAAAGACCTATCAAAAATAAAGTATTACTTCAAGTTCTATTAAAATGGGCATTAGTATATATTATTATCTATAGAAACATTTATTATTATCCATAGAAACATTTGCTCTGCTGTTATTAATATTAATATATTAATTCTCTGCTGTTATTAATAGTAATTCTTTTTAATTGCATCAAATGAAAAATTTAAATTTAATTTTAAAGTTTAACTTGCTGTCATTAATTTTGACAATTTGGCATTTTGGCAAGTTGTCTCGGGCTTACGTCACAAGAACATGCGCGTTGACTTATCTTGTTTGTTATAGTATCATGGTATTAATTATGATGAATTTAATTAAAGAAGATCGCATCCAAAACTTCTGATTCCAGTGTTCTGTTGAATGAGTTGATTTTTCTCCTGTAGGTTTTATAGATATCGGGTAAATCGTTAGATATTCTAGGAATAAATTATGTGTAATTGTGTTTTCCAATTGATTTATAAGCACTAGTAATTTGGACATAGTCATGAAATTTTCTTCTAGTGCTGTAAGTATGATGTATTGATTTTAATACATGTTTATTTTTATATGTAAGCAAAAACTGTCAATAAATGTTAAATTACCTGCTTGCTGATAAGAAGTTTGATGAATATAAGCGAGATTTTTTAGCATTATTTTCAAAAACTTCCTTTGCAGTATTTCGTTCTCCCCATATTCAAATGGCATAGTCCTTTATTTAAGTAAGAAAATTAAGAATATGCTTGAGATATCTAAGTCTGTATACTAACCTTAAGTCAATGTAGATCGGTCAAATATTTGATCAAACTAGTTTGACCAAACCAAAAAATTGACAGCATATGACGTCACATCCTGAGTTTGATCAAATCCTCTAAAAATAGAGGATCTTCTATTTTCAAGGTCAGTTTGATCAAACTTTAATTTTGATTGGTCGAAAAATATCTAAAGTCAAATGACAATCAGCAGTTAGACATAACGTATTTAAATTAATTTTCTTTTTTCTTTGGTTGACAGTGTGTGGTTTATTTGTCTTCCTATTTTGTTATAAAATAAAAATAAAAATTTAAAATATCTTGCAGCCAGGAACAAGTTTCTACATAATTGATTTATACCGAGAAAGAAGCTGTTTATATAATGTCAAACATCCATATTATTATAAAAATCCTTTCACCCTATTTATTTTCTTTGTGTATAAGAAAAATTAGAATCGTAAATAAAGCCCAAGCAACTAATAAAATAAGCAAAAAAGACAATTAATTTCCTTGACATACGTCAATTTGATCAAATTTGAATGATCGTGTGACAGGTAGATTTTTAAAATTTGAACAAACTGTAATTATGACGTCATTACGTCAGTTTGCTCAAACTAGTTTGATCAAATATTTGAGCGTCTGAACGGACTTAAAGTTAGAGTCTTACATACATATCAATCTCTCTATCGCTTCTATTATTTATTTTTGACAGTTGACATTAATATTTAATATTTTCGTTACAAATAAATTGAAATTTTGCTTCCTTTGCTTATGTTTATGCCCAACTATTTATATGGAATTTATAGAAATACTATTAGTCATGTCCTCTTAAACCATGCCACTGTTTTTACATTGACATTAACAATAATTAACTTCCTTTTACTCTAGGGAAAAAAACAACAATAAGTTTAAAGGTAAAATTGTCGGTGCCTATGAAGAATAAATATTGCATTACAACACGGAGTGACTAATCATACCATAGTCCTGATTTAATGTAACACTGCTTATATTTAGAATAAGTTATTCATTGAAAAAATATTGTATATAGTTATGTTATTTTTGAGTTAATGAGATTGAGATAACTTCAATGTTCGTCGAAAGGTTAAGGAAATAGCTAGGAAAGTTTCGAAAACGCAACAGCGGAAAAATAGCAGATGATGAAGGCAATCTTGCCATAACCAAAGAAGATAAAAGAGAAAATATGGAAAGAATAATTTGGAGAAACTTTTCCACGACCTTCGAACAATACAAGAAACCCACTATTGAAGCAAATTTAGGTCCCGAAATCCTACCAGAAGAAATAACTTCAGCCGTCAGACAAATGAAGGATGGAAAAGCACCGGGACTTGATGAAATTCCTGCAGAATTGCTGAACCTATTAGATGCAAAACAAATAAAAATAATAACTGAAATATTTAATGAAATATATTGCCCAAAAAACCAGGAGCAAAAGTTTGTGAAGACTAAAGGACTATAGGCCTAATGAGCCATCTGCTGAAGCTGTTTTTAAAAGTCACCCACAAAAGAATTTACCTTAAAGAATTTACAGTTTGGATTTGTGAACGCCGTTGGGAAGCTTTATTTAGCGTACAGGTATTGTTTCAGACAATGTAGAGATGTCAGCTGTAATGTTTTTGCATGCATGATTGACTACAAGAAGGCTTTCGATAGAGTCAGGCATGTACAAATGATGGAAGTGCTGAAGAGGACAGGGATTGACGGAAGAGACTTAAGGCTGTTTTAGCAGTTCAAGCACACTGCGATTTGAAATGGCGTATCAATGCCCGCAAAATGTTTATTGCGCTAACAACCTTACATGGTTCATGAGAAAAATTAAATATACAAAAGCTAATAAATTTTAAAAAGATGGAGCATATCGCAAACCTATTTCTGGTTACCAAGTAAACAAATATAAAAAAAATAATAAAATAAATAAATAACAAGAAAAACGGAAAGGACTTTGGAAATAAATACATATTTTTAAATATTGTTTAGGTGGCGCCATCTATTTATCCCGATATCACTTACTGACGTTCATAATGATATCTGCAATAATAACACCCAAAATATAACAGAATATTTGGAATAGATGGCGCATAAAGCAAACTTTAATATTTTTGTTTTGTTTTTATAATTTTTTATTGAAAAATAATATGAAAATGGAACAAAAGTGGATTTAAATACACATATTTGAGTAAAAATAAAACATGATTTTTTGTGTAATTTTATGATTTCTAATTTAAATGCAGATATTTAAAAATTATTTTTCTTTATTTAAAAATATACAATCCACATCAAACATGCAGAGTTATTAATTGTTTCTATATTACAAATGGCGCCATCTAGATCAGACATTGGCAACCTTTTATATATTGGGATTTGTTTGAGAGATTTTACATAATTATTTACATGGGAATAAATTCTTGTATAAAAGAACAAAAAAGCGAGCGATTTTTAAAAAGGAGTTAGACAAGCGAGCGCTGAAATAAGAACCATTTATAAAGACGTGAATTTGATAAGATCACAGGGGTGGATCTAGTTGAATTAATGCTCCTTCGAAGTTTCGAAAAAAGGGCTGGAATCAATGCTATGATTTTGAGATGGATGAAAGAGAAACAGAAAGCTTTATTATTAAAAATGCAGTAAAAATCGTTTTAATAGTAGAATATACCTATGCGATATAGAGCGAATGAAGGGCGTTGTTATAGTATATTTCAAAATTGATTGATAACACAAATTTTATAGCAAAAGTCTAATTACAGGGTTGAATCAATGCAGAAAAAACGTAATAATTGATACCGTCTTATGCTGAATATTCAATAATGGCATTTTTATTAATATTTATTAAAAACATTACCCTTATGGTTTTCTGTTTATTTTCAACAATAAAAAAATCACTAAACCCTGACTATTCACTTATATCAACATACGTTGATTTCTTATAATTATGTTAAATCTAGAGGTAGCTATGGAAAATTGGCATCAAAACAATAATATTGTCAGTTGATGCTAAATGTTTTTAGTAGAAAGTATTGTAAAGCTTTTGTGACGTTATTGGAAGACACGGTTTCTGGAAGATCAACAAGTTACCGAGAGGCCCACGAATTTCTGCACATATTCTGTTTGTAATAATCTTTGTAAAGTTATTGTGAAAGAAGTGAAATTGGTCGATAAGGTTTCAGGTCTGTGGTGTCTCCCTTTTTGTGTATTAGTATTGTTTTAGCAGTATTCTATTGTTCGGGTATGTTGCCTTCGAATAGACATTTATTAAATAGTATTTTTAGATATGTGATGGCTTCTTCTCAGACTTCCTTCAGCATTTCTGCTATGATTCCATCGCTTGCAGGAGCTTTATTCCTTTTACTGCTCTTTTTTTCTTCGTGGCTTATTTCAGGCATCAGTTCTGAGTTGATATTTGTTATCTGCCTTTCAAAGTTCTGTTTTTCTTTCCCAATTTTGATTTGGTGCATTTGAGACTTTCGTTTTTCTTTATGACTTGTTCTATATGGTCTTCTTAATGCTTTTTTAATGTCCTCTTTTATCTGTTTTCTTATTACTTGATTAAGTTCCTTAAATTCTGCAGTTTCTCTTTTTTGTATCAGATCTTCTCTTTGTTTCAACATGTTTTGTGATTCTACACTTATTTTGGATTTTTGTTTTCTCTTATTGGTTGGCACTTCTGAGCTTGCATTTTAGTTCGTTTGTTATGACTTCATTGATTTCGTTTAGGCTAAGTTTATCTAGATTTAATACTTTCGCGGGTTTTAACTTGCTTTTGTAGTTCTGTATAAGATTTTAATTTATCTGTGTCTATATTCCAAGTTTTTCTAAATTTGGCTCTGAACCATTCGGTGATCGCTACTTACTGATGCCGTATTTATTACTGTTTCGTCCTGTATGATATCTGTTTTGTTACACAGTATGTAATATATTTCGTTCAGAGTTTTTTCGTCTGGTGATAGCCACGTCCACTTTCTTTGAGGTGCTTTAAAAGTTGATTTTCCAACTCCGGTCATATCTGAACACGTAGAAACTATACTCTGAAAAGTACCCAAGTCCCACATTACCATTCAACACAATTTGGATCATCTTTTTGAAAATTTTTCTGGGATAAAAAATGTTATGAAATAAAACTACACATATTTATTATTGTTTTTTTATTGAAACATAACGTGACACAGTAATAATAAAGCCTGGAAAAAATAAATAAACCAAGGTGGCAAATGCAAACCCCAGTCAGTTGGAAAATCGTAAATATGTACAATAAAATTAGACCTTAAGATAATAATAACTATGGTAGTCACGCTAAACCTTGTTTAAAATTCTTCTACAATACTTATTTATTTACTCTTGGGCCTAAATTCAATCTTTCTCGATTTCAATGAAGAAAATTTAAGTTTCTTAATATAATAAGTGATACCAATAAGGATAGAGAAGATGCCGATCACTTTGATCAACATTTTCTTTCTGTCATCGTGCTCTGGTTCTGACGTCCATTTTAGGAATACAGCGACATCTTTGGCGAGTTGACTGGCAGTTGCTGGAGTTCCGTCAGTGTATTCTATGGTTTCGTTATACAGAGCTTGTGCCATCGAAATGGCACCACCGGGGAAGTAGGGGTTGAAGTATTGTCCGTCTCTGAGGACAACGCCCGCTGGAGCGTCGCAATAACCCGTTAAAAGGGCAAATATGTAATCTTCACCTAAAACAAAAGCATTATTAAGTATGGTAAACGCATAAAAACAGCTTGAAGACAAAAACCAGAATAGATATACAAAGAAAACAACATTTACTCTAGTTATCAATGATTTTCACTGAACTATGTAACTAAAAACTGCTGATTAACTGAAATAATCATTGAGAATTGATGTAATATAGTTTAATGTAAGACACTAAATGAAAAAATGCCTCTTTGTAATGAACTGGTTTGTTGAAAAAGAAACCACAAAGAAAACTGACATTGAAGGTCAAATTACACAAGTGAAAACAAAATAAGGAATTTAACAGTGATCAATCAATTTAAAACTAACAATAATCATTGAGTGTAACAATAAAACATTGAAAACTTGTTTTCAAAACTTCCACAAAATTTATTTTAAACTGTTATCACTACAGCTCTTTCGGCTGATTCCACAGCGGAAAGCATCGTTTCTTTCCACATAACAGTTTCTTAATCTTAAAGAATGCAGCTCTGGCCTTCTCTAGTTCTTTCCAGTTGTTCACCATAAGCTGTTACCACTTCCGGTTGTATTGGCGTTTTACTGACGACCATCACCTTTGTCTTTGCGGTGTTTAGCTTAAGGCCATATTCATCACACGTTGTAATCCTATTAATTAGATGTTGAAGTTCTTCGTAATTGCTTGCAATTAACACTGTGTCATCCGCATATCTCAAATTATTAATATTGACGCCATTCATTTTTATACCACATTGAACATTATCCACTGCTTTATTGAAAACGAACTCAGAATAGATGTTAAATAGTAGCGGGGACAAAATGCAGCCCTGCCTTACTCCTCTTCGTATTTGAAGCTCTTCAGAAGTGTCCCGGCCAATCCTGATGTTTGCACGTTGATGCCAGTAAAGATTTTTAATAATGCGTAGGTCTTTATCATCAATACCTACCTGCTGAAGAATGGCTATCATTTCAGTATGTTTTACTCAATCAAAGGCCTTCTCAAAGTCAATAAAACACATATAAACTGGATGTTCGACATCTCTGCATCTCTGTACCATAACCTGAATACTAAATAGTGTCCAGATAGTCCAATAGTGAACAGATTGTGATCAGGTGGAACATCGGCACCAGGAAAAGTTTTTACAGACTTAACTGCATTTCTGTAACGCTCACTGATAGTTATGTAGTTAATTTGGTTTCTGGCGATATTACGGGCAGTGTCTACTGGAGATTTCCATGTATATCTTTATATGTATAAATATATTTCTTTGATACCATACTGAATCAAATAAACAATTGGAACAAATCCATACCGAATTTAGCACCAAAAGATTTGACAAAAACTGATGGATATGAAATATTTACTTACATAAATCAACTGGATATATAGATTTGCTTAGCATAGAAGTATTTAAATACACAAAACACTGGATTTTAAGCAGGAGAGTTAGTTTTATGAAAAATGAATGCTGAATAATTTAATTCTCATTTTAGTTTAACAAAATTTTTTGTTTAGAATGTGCTCGTAACTATTTTTCTGAAAAGTCCACAGCCTTAGGGGCTTAACTCTTTATTAGTCAATCATTTAACAGCAAATTGTGCATTTTCTTGATATTTTCTCTGGTAGTGGCTGTTTTTGGCCACTCACAAGTGGATCATTTTAAATTGGTGTCTCCTTAATAAACAATTTTACCGATTTTAATGATTTTAAACTGTTAAATTCTGCCTACTATGAATCAATTTGAAATGCACATAATGAAAGATCTAATAGACAAATAATACAGATGAAGTGATGAAAAAATAACAAATTATAAAAAGATATGAAAGAAACTGACAATGAAAGGCACATAATACTAAAATTTGCACATGAAAGGTGAAAAAAACAACTGAATAGTGAATTAAATAGTGAAAAAAAAGTATAAAACAATTACTTCAGAAATACCAAAAATGTTTCTTGTTGCAAATATAATAAAATGATGTAAATACAATTTCATGTAACGTAATATTCAAAGATAAACTCGATAAGGTAAAAATAAAAATGAATATATATGAAAGCATTACCTCCATGTCTGGCAGATACAATATAACTCAAATCTGGAGGGTATGAACCGTTATTGGCAGCACGGGCTGCTTCTTCATTGGGATATGGACTGGGGAAGTAGTCAGATAACTTTCCTGGTCTTTTGAAGTAGTTACCCGTGTCATCAGGGCCATCTTCAATCATTTGTTCTTCAGCTTCAGCTTTGGCTTCGGCTTCAGTGTGGGTAACTCCAACTAAATTACGGTAAGCTATGAAGCGCATTGAGTGGCAGGCGGCACATACTTGTTTGTATACTTCGTAACCTCTTCTTACACTACAAACAAAATTAACAATAAATATTATTCAAAGATGAAGTTAAGTAAAAAACAGAGTTGGAATTTAACATTGCTACAGTTGAGATGTAGAAAACTCTTTCAAGAAGGAACTTATGTCCACTGTAGACAAGTCCATCAGCATATTACCAGATAATTTAACAATCTCAGGTATGGATTAATCCAGTTAAACCCAACCACTGTTTGGTTTTGCGGTTATTTTGAAAGTACCAAAAAGTTCACTGAAGATGGAGTAATTTTAAATATTCATGTAACCATATATAAACTCCAATCAACTTAGGTCCAGCACCCATGGTGCAACTGTTTTAGAATAACGGTTGAAAACTAGTTTCATCTGCAATCAGTTTACTACCTAAATAAAACCTGTTTCTGCCCACAGAGCAGTTTTTTTGAACAGTTGGGTTATAATACAATGTTATTGTGGTAAAATGGTGGGTATCAGAAACACCAATTTCAAAAAAAATTAGCTTTAAAAATGATTATTCAGTTTAAAAAAAAATGCTTTTTTCACAAATATATTTGCCTTCATGTTTATATTTAGATTCTTTAAATTTCCAATCTGAAAAAGTAATTTGCTATTCTAAAAAATAAATATATTTTTTGTAATAGCCTTTGCTTATATCTAAGTGACTATTGTAATGCTATATAAAATTAAAATAAAATGTTCATTTTTTCAAAAGTTCAGTTATTATTTATATCCTAAAATATTCAAATGCTCAGGTAATAATGTGCTACAACAACTTGCAACACAACTGCAACCATGGGAAGAGACTCAAAACAAAATCATCTTTAGACTAATCGGAAATAAGTTTCAGCCAGAATCCTTTTGCTTTTGTATTGCCAAGATCAGAAAAAGGTTGTACAATAGGTTTCAGACCATACTTTTAAAACAGTTGTGCCTTGGGCACTGGCTCTTAAATATATCATAGCGTTTTATTTGCCTAGTCTCGCCCCATGTGACTGTATTGTTCCATAAAGTTAAATCTACAGCAGCTGTACACAGAAAAAGTCTTCAAGCACAAAAACTATAAATTTAACTTGAAAGTATCGTTATATAGGTCTTCTTCTTATTCTTCCTATGCCCTGTTCAATTACTGTGTGTTGGCTTTCAAATTGGCTATACTAATTTTGTTGATGGCAGTTCAGAAAAGGGATGCAGAAGATCTGTTAAACCAGTCTGTCATGTTTTGATGTTCGTCTTCAACCTGGCCCTCTTCATCCAATTATCTTGCCATGTATTCTTTGCGATTTTGCGAGTTTGCGATTTTTGACTGTTTTGGCGACTTCTGTAACATTTCCCATCTGCTGTAAAACAACTATGTATGTCTCAATTTTATTTAAATATTGTACTATAAGAAGAAAAAGATGCTTTATCAATTTTTGTATAAAATCATAACAGTTTTTGACAATATCAGAAAAATAAACATTTGTATTGCCTCACTCCATTATTAATAGTAGTGACTTATTAAATTATGTCAAAAATATCAGTAAATTTATAAAAAAAAAACAATAAGTTAAAACTCATAATGTCTTTACCTAGCATGATCCAAGGAACTGAAAGTCCCAGAATGACTCCAAACATTCTTTGGAGGATGCAATTCTAGATCAGATGCTTTAACTGATTGGTCCAAAGCAAACAGCAAGGCTCCAGTACCACCAGCAATAAGCCCTAAGCTTCCCAAAAGCTAGAAAACAAATTATAAAGTTAGAGTAAGTGAAATACAATTATTATTATAAAAAAATAAGTCAGTAACACCATTTATTGCTATTACCTTTTTTAATGGTTTCTGCCCCAAACTTTAACATCCTGTATTTTTCATCATTACTATAAACACCAATTTAGATTGAGAGTATTGAAAAATAGTTCGTCTTTGAGTAGTTCATATCAATAATATTTATTATTATGTTTAGTATTGTCTGTTTCCACAATTAACGAAAATAAGTTAAGGAGATCTATTGAGGATTAGCTAGTCCATATCAAGAAAATAGTATAATTCTAGCATACTATGCAGAATAGCTTGAAATTTTAGTTTAAATTTCATAGATCCTGCCAGTGATATATGTTATGAGAATTGTTTATGTAAATGAGTCTCAAAGAAACTTTACTTTTACTAAATATTGAAAAAATCCACATATTGTCTTTAACCTTTGCTTTGACATTTATCCACAGGAATAACCCTAGATGAATTGTATACAGCAAAAAATAATTATATAATGAACCCTCTAAATACTTTAATAACATTCTCTAACATAGATTGTTTAATTATTAGCTTGTTCAAACAGTACTTAATTACCTTTGGGAGTACCCAAAGTCAAGGTCCACTGAAGTATAAAAAATAATTCACAATTATTAATTACTTACTGCTTTTCTTCCACGGGTCCATTCCTTTGTTGTGGAATACGAACTTAACTAAAATAAAAGAGAAATGTATAATTTTCGGTGAGTCTAGGTAACAGATGACATAACACTTGTTTAAGTTAGTTTTTAAGTAGGTAAATGCTAGTTTTACTTAAATGAACAAAGTAAATCGTCTAGACAACATTGATAATTAAATTGTAACAATACCTGGCCAACAGAGGATAAGTTTGTTGGTTTTAAAAGACCAGCTCCACAAATTCGTCCTATTGTTGCAGCCATGTTGCCTAAAAGGTGATGTCAAAAACTATGCAGATAGGTTATGTGAAAATAATTGTGTGTCCCTAGATTAATGTAACATGAAGTATTTAGGTGATAAAAAGCTAGTTTGATAGGATTTAAGCACTTTTAGGAAGCTACTAAGGAAAAATATACAATTTTTTGACAATTTACGTAATACCAGTCTGAAGTTAGCACTTACAAAGATTTTTCATTTTATCTTCTTTTTAGAGAAGCAGAAGCATACTCTTGGTTTTATGAAAGTTATAAAAGAACAAATTACAAAAAATAGTAAAATGTTTGATATATAACAAAACAATATTAAAAAAGTGAATTTTATCACTGGGACACTATGTACTTGGTGCTTATTTCAAACTTAGGCAATTCCTTTTACATTAGATTTCACATCCAAACAACAAACCATACATACTCTATGGTTTGTGACATGATACTATGACTATAAGATAAGATATTGCGCATGTTTTTTTGACGTCATTGGAGACTTGCACGTTCGAAATGTCAGTTTTTGTATATATCGATAAATAATCTTTAATTATTGTAATTATTAAACCTCTTAACTTATTTTCGTCTAGTAATTTCATCACAGAATGCATAAAAATCTCATTTAACTTTAACAAGAATTCAAATTCTAGTCTCCAATGACGGCATGCGCGAACCCGACCGATTTTGAGCTACGGGAAGAATCCTATCTTGTTATATCATAGTATCATGGTTTGTGATCCAAACACACACATAAACACTTCACGCATATAGTTACTATTCACAAACTATTAAGATCTTTGAGTCTCAGTTTAATTTATTGTTTCACATTCATAATTTTAATTCTGTTTATTTTTTATTTCATAAATTTACAAGTTTTTTATTTTCTGTACCTTTCTGGGATTGGTGTAGAGAGAGAATAAACAGGGAACGAACCCAGGGCTGAGCAGTCGGGCAGAGCACCATTCTGATGGATGGAACGGTGGGCATTTTTCTCTTGAATATCCTTAGGGATATTCGAAGAATCTCTCCCCTCGTTTCTTCCGGCAGTATGGTGTTGCTTAACGCCCTGGTCTTAATAAGATTAAGACGTTACAGGTTTTCGAGGATTGTTTGTTAAGAGTGTTAAACTTGGTATTTACTGCTTGATAATCAGATAGTCCTGCATTAATAATTGTAGAGCGTACATCAAGGGATGTATTTCTGTATACTTATACTTTTTTTTAATTTTTTTTAAAGGTAAAATTACTTCGGAAAATTACTTCCAGTAAATTTACTGTTTGTATTTGACACGATTTCCGAAGTGGAAATTGAAACGTCAATAAACGTATTTTAACCTTTAATTGTGGCTTATTCCCAGTTAAATAGTAATTAATTTAAAATGCGACAAGAAAATAGCTTTAGAACAATATTAAGAGTTGTTAGAATAATTAAACTGTACTATCCTTTGTTTCTTTATGCTCCTGGTAATAGATTTTAATATGTTCAATCAAGATTCTCGAAACTGTATCTTCTTTGGGAGTATTTACTGTCTAGGTATAACAAAATTGACTATTACTAAAATAAAACACTTCCAAATTAGGTTTAATCGATGTATTGTATAAATATTAAATAACAAAAAACACCTATCAAAAAGATTATTGCTTATTTAAATGTAGTGGAATTATATGAGCATACTCCACCTATGGCGTGTCGTCATATGTTCTGGATTTCTCCTTTACAGTGTGAGCAACATGGATGCGCAGAGGGATATTGTAGAAACATCTGCTCGTTGCTGACAGACGAAGCAGCGCCTATAACAGCGCTGCAAAGAGCATCTGGTTTATTGCTAATTGCTACAGGATTGTTGAGCAACTAAAAAATAGAAACAGATGGTACTAATGACTCCCACAATTAGAGTTGTGATCGTGGATCTTTATACGTGCGTCATTTACATCTAACAAGACATGTCATACACGTTTAATAGCATCTTTGCATCTCTTGTGCAGTCTTACAAATAAAATAAAAACGTTTGTTTTTAAGTAAAGAAATACATACGCAAATAAAATATTAGCTGTATCATTTCCTGAAGTCCAATGGTATACACAAATCAAAAATGCCAGAAGCATATAGTTCCATGAAAGTTACCATTAATCAAGAAAACCTAACGAGAGCTTGGAACAAAGATGTTTGGCCAAAGGGTGCAGTGGTATCTAAGTTTTTTGTGAAGAGGAGGATGCCAATATAACTGGATCCTCTTTAAAAAGTATGTTAAATTTAAAAATTATTAATGGGCATTGGCTTTTACCTGATGAGGTAAACAATCTCTGTTGTTTGGTGTCCCTCACGGCTCGGTTTTGGGTCCAATATTATTCCTTATCTATATTAATAATCTAGTGTACTCTCAAAATGAAACAGTTAACACTGTTTTACTTGCTGATGACACGACTTTCTATGCAAGCTATCACCCTTCTGAATTCGACACCTTTGATTATCAAACATCTGAAAAAAAGTTATTCAATTGGTTTTTAACTAACCGTCTCTCTTTGAACAACTCTAAATCACAAAGTGTTAGTTTTACTTTAAAAAATAACACTTGTGTTGAAAACGTTGCTCTACCACAATATGTAACCGGAGCGAAGTTTCTGGGGATATATTTGGATGCAGGATTAACTTGGGAACAACATATAGTTAATCCATCGAAAAAGCTTTTCCGGCAACTTTTCCTCTTCACCAACCTTGTACAAGTGACTTCCAGGGAAACCTTTTAAAAGCCATTAGATCGTTATAATTCGGAAGTTTTGTAAACTAATAGTTACACTATGTTATATATTATTTAAAATATATTTGCAAAGTGTATCAATGTTATATAAAAATTCTTTATACTTTTATTTTAAAATGAAGCATTACAGCCGTGGGTCGGGGTAGTAGCCACGGCCTTTATAATGTCAAAAGTTCCATCTTGATTACCTTTGGTTTATTTTTAATAAAACGCGCTTGTGTAAAGATCCACGTCACCAACTTAAATATTCTTACCCTTTGAGCTTTCTTTTCTGCCAGTGTTGGTTGAACACCAACGGCACTAAAAATATTTTTATCACCCGTATCATCCAACTTTAAATAATCTCTCAATTTTCTAGCTAATTCCAAATCGATATGAGTAGCTTCTAATACATTTCCATAAGTCAAAACGGGCTGTTGGTGATTTTCTTTGAAAACATGTTTGTTAATACTGTTTAATTGACTAAGTAGTTCTAATAATTGAGAATGGATCTTCTTACGTTCATCGAGAAGCATTTTGGTCACTTCTTGGAGCTCGTTGGTTCTATTCGAAAAAGCGGATTTCCATTTAGCTAGTTCCTCCACCATTAAACTACAAATATCACATCATACACATACTCATATACTATAAACTAATATTTATACTACCTAGAAGCTAAGAATTTGCTCCTCCACACCTCACACTGACCAGACAACCATTCAGTATGTTCTTGATGTGACGTTAGATGATTTGCGGAATTTAACAATGCCCTTGCCAATGATAATTTATCTTCAGTTAAATGTTGTACTCTGTTTTCCAAATCTTCTCCAACAGCTGCTACCAAAAGTGTTTTTAACTCGCTGTTGACCTACCACAAACAATGATTTGTTACTTGGTATAAAAAATATTAGTTCAGTCATGGACTTCTCTACAACAGGCCCAAACAGTTATGCTTACACCTGAGAAGAACCTGTTAGTATTTTCAGGTTCTCTAGAAGCAAAGATAGCTAAAGAATATCTCTAAAAAAATTGAAAACTGTCACATATATAGTTTGTATGAAACATTTTTATGAAGATGATGCCTGTAATGATATTTATTTGGATAAGGTTTTCACAGAAAATGACATACTCTTAGAGAAACTACTACAGTGAAAATATTTGCTGAACTTGAGTATTTATCCAAAGAGAAAGATTATTACAAGGAAAAGTTCTACTAAAAGGAGATAATTATTTGATAATAAGCAAGAAGAATAGTCTCCAATCAACTAAATTTAAGAGAACAAAAAGAATCAAATATGGTGGAGTTTTGCCTCTACATTTTAGACACATTGTGGTGTGGTACCTTAACTATGGGGTTAAGTTCGATAACAAGGGCTTATGGAACTGCTGTTCCACTGTGTAGTGTATGTTATAGCTTTGTTCATTATCATTTCTGTGTTTAGACTTTCTTGAAAGTATTCTTTCTATTTTCTCATAATTTGTTGTTTCTCTACCAGTCTTTCATTTCCTTTGAATATCAAATATTTATTCATATTGTATATCTTTACCACCTTCTGACAAGAAGAGATGTTTTTGGAGTTATTCTTCTTTACACCGGTCTACCTGTATGATTATAGGACTTCTATAATCTTATTTTGTTTCATCTTAGAAATTATAGAAATCTAGAATTTCTTGAATTTAGTTCAAATGCACTTATTTGAGGATATATTAGCCTTAACTTTGGAAGAAAAGAACTAGAAGTAGAATTACTTAAAGATGGTTTAGAAAATTGTGGAAAAGAAGTAGCAGGTATAACAGAATAAGGAACTGATATTTAGCAACAAAACTTCACTAAAACATATAGATCTTCAGCCAACAGTATAACCACGTAACCTAATCACAAAAATATTTATAATATTGGATATAATGAAGATTTAACTAAAAAAAAAGAGGTAACTAACCTGAGCTTGGAATTTTAATTGATTTTCCAATAAATTATTAGATGACCTCAAATTCTGTAAATCAATCTCATACTGTTCCTTCTCTTTCTTCCACTGCAACACTAGTTTCGCATGGTCAATTTCATCCACTTCTTTAATAACATTAATCTTATCCATCTCAAGTTTTCGGGTTTCAGACAACTGGGTCACAAGGTTTTGCAAATCCATGTCATTCCTAGCTACTCTTTTAGGGCTTCTATTAACTACTTTCTTACTATATATCAATGGTTCAACGGCAGCCTTATACGGTTCGCATGGCACGAATTTTGGTTCCTTCTGTTTCTGGACAAAATAATTGGGAGCAACTTTAGGAGAAAATTTGTGTTTTGGAGTTAAATACACCACTTTACTGCTAGGCTCCACTGGTCTTAATGAGTTTAAAATCTGTTTGCTGCGTTTTGCAGCAGTCGTGGGATTTATTATAGATTCTAGTGGGTGAGGCTTATTAAAAGTTGAGTTATCAATTCCATCGCCTTGAGTTCTTACTACTTTATCCATATTATTACCAGATTTGATTGAGTGTATTGCAACTTTGATATGAATACTTTAATAAGCAATTAAAATTTATTAGTTGCGATGTGTTGGCTACATAAATAAATTACATTAACTATAAATTGCAATATTTTTATTTGAACTGTCAAATTTGTGTAAACATAACCAATAAAATGATTTGAATATTTCTTTTTTGTTGAATATCTGGTTTATTAACAGATTGCTTGCTTTATTTAAAAATTTATGGACATAACATAAATGTTCATTTTATAGTAGTAGAATACTTAATTAAAATAGTATTTAATTGTCTTAGCATCACAATTTATATTATTTTTTCTAGGCATAGGCAACCAATAAAACTAATAAGCGTAGTACTGGTTGTTTACGTACTTCATCATGGTTCAAATTATTAATTTTTTACCCATTTTATTATTTTTAGGGATATGTATGTATATAAAAAATAAAAACTAAAAGAATGTAGAAAAAATAATTTATTAATTAAAAAACATTCAGACCTTATTAAAGATTCTTCAGATTGGGAAAAGTGTTTTAATCTCTCATACTTAATACAGCTTACATACAGATCCTTAATAATCTTCTTCTTCCTCTTCAGTCATATCCTCTCGTTCTTCATCGTCGGTCAGCTCTTGGACAAACGAGTCATACTCTAAAACTTCATCGTCACTTAAATGAGAATTACCCTCGACGAATGAAGCAAACCTAGAAAAATATTCAGATATTTTGGTACACTATTCAACCGCATGTAAACTACTCACCTCTTCACATCTTTTAGCTTTAGCACTGTCTTCCATTGATTGCAGTCTGGGCTTGAACAATAGTCCCTCAAGGATTCCAAAGCTTTAGCTGTTTCCACAACTCCTTGGTGATAGTATTCATCATTTGTGAGTAGTTTTCTTTTTGGTGGAAATTTTCTTTTCCTATTCAATAAATATTAACATTTAAAGTCTACTTCAATATTTCTACAAATTAACTGTACAGTTAACCAAAGCAAGATGGATATAATGGAAGCGGGCATTGATAGTTGCACTTTTGGTGGAAATTTTCTTTTGCAACATAAATATGTAACTCCGCCTCCGGTACGTGCTGGGTGGATTTAGTAGCTCAGTAAATGCCGGTGCCGGTCCCAAGCCCGGATAAAGGAGGAGGGTTGAGGCGATGGTAAATGTCTAACAACTTTATTTTTCGCAGATGACCAGGTAGTCGTAGCGAATGATGAGGAAGACATGGACTACATGTTTAGAAAACTAAAGAAAGAATATGAAAAAAGGGTCCTCACAATGAATATGTCAAAGACAGAGTATCGTAAAATAGGAGATGATATGTATGGTCACGTGAAGCGAATGAATAAAGATAGATGGCCAAAGAAAGCTTTAAATTACATACTGCAACAAAGAAGAAGAAGGGGAAGGGATTTTCAATACAAAATCTTTGTCTTTTGAAAAATTTATACATTTTATAGAGTATGACAGGTGATAAAAGATGCAGAAAAGGTTCCGTTTCATCAAGAGCTTCTAATAACTTGATTCAAAAGTCAATGTATATTTATATAGTTGGTTTTCTTACTTACCAGTAAGTCCTGGGAGCCATTTTCCACTTTTGAGGCAAATGGTGGCCAATAAGTAATATCACTATTTGGGCCATAGCAGCTTCTGGGTAATCGCTGCTATTATAAATGGAACAAAGTCCTGCAAACTGAAGGAGCCATTTTATTAAGTTAATTGTTCGCTCGTTCTCGACGGGACCCCATCTATAGCACACTAAAATGAAGATATTTTAATATATAGACTTTTCCTTGATTAAGGTTGATCTGCACCCCCAAAAGACAAACTATACATTCAAAAAATTTGAAAAAATTTGAGAAGGTATATATGATAACTAGAAATATTTTGACAAATTTTGAGCAAACTTCATGTTTTCGTTTTCGAAAAAACTCAAAAAAACTACTTTTAATTATAAAGTGGGAAATCCATACATACAATTTTGTTAATTTTCTTACAGCATAAAGATATAATCCTAAGAAATACTTATGAATCTTTTTAAAAATTTTGAATGTACAGTTTTTTCACAATAGGAAAAAATAATATGTTCCGGCTTATAATAAAGCTACCGGTAAGAAACGGGTAAAAGTGGAAAATATTTGCATTAAAATGTTGATTATTTTTTCCTAAACATATGAAAAACCTCGTTAAACAAGAATTATATCTTGAACTGGCCATCATAATAACTGATTCTGTTTCATCGATGTTTATGGTCGACTGTGTAGCACATACTCCAAAGAATTTTCTTTTATAATTTGAAAGTTCGAAATTATAAAGTATAGTTTCGGAGTTACAAATTTCAAAAATAAGTATCGCCAGGGTTTGAGTTTATGCAGTAGCCCTCTAAGCAGTATTTTGAAGTATGCTAATCGTGGATAAATGTCCCGTTTGAAATGTGCTTCTATACACATCTATATTCGTTGATAATATTTCTCTTCTGACGGAAGTCTGGCCAATAACCTGATTATGATCGCAACTTCGCAAGGGATTTATTACCCATTAATTAAGCATATGTGATATACAAAGATACCATCTCAATTTCGTACAAAAATATACAAGAAAAATAATATATACTTACATACAAAACTAATAAACCCTGAAATCAATATGTACCACATAACATAAAACTTGTAGTCTGTCAAAATAACTTGAATATTTTCCCATAACAACTTCCACATGTATATTACAAGAGTCCAGCCCATACCAACTACTCCATACATAAAAGGTTTCTAAAAAAAATTAAAAATAGATCTGAAAAAAGATTATATACAAAATCTGTACCAAAAATATCCTATGTATATATATTTGATTGTAGTATTAATTTATAACTTCATGCCAAAACACTCCAGCATCCTCTGTGGAATACTGTTATTTAAAATTTCTTGTTTGTGTTAGTTGAATTTGGTGCAATTTTGAATTAAACTTGAGTTGAAATGTGTGGAGACTATTCAAATGATTCAAAAGTTCTGATCGATATTCAAGTAAAATACTGTAAAATAACGAATATGCAACTTGCTATTGAATATCATCAATTGATTGTGTGCAAACTAGAAAGCAATCTTATAATTCCAAAGTCCTTGTTTTCCGAGACTTATAACTGAGAATTTGAGCATTATTTGCATGTGTGAGAAGCTCTTTACAAAATTACTTACAGTAGAGCACAAAAAATTTGCTTACAAGATGCTCTGGACAACTTGGAATGAAAAGAACAGTTTCCACAAATGAAGCTTCCATTCCATCCATTTTGGCCCTGAATAGGCTCCAAGAGAACAGACAATCGCCATGAGTTTTATGTTTAAGTTCTACAATAATTATGTGAGGCAATAAGAAGAAATCTTTCTGTTTTTGCAAGAGGGGCAACTAGTTTCTGTGTCATGATAATGCAGCAGCATATTGATTAAACCATATGCAACAATTTTTGGCAAAACACAACTCATCTGAAAGATGCAGAATCCAGCAAAGGAAAGTTATGAAAGAAGATCATATACTTTTGGCACATAGCTCCTAAGTGCATCGAATATTTACACAATTCATATTTTTCACTTTAGAAAGGAAACAATTGTTTAGTTGTTATTTAATTATTAACTAATCACAAACTACAACACTTACCTTAGGGAATACTTTGCTTATAACATAAATTAACACCAGGACTGATGCACATATACCGAAGACAATTCCAGTTATGTAGTGGAAAAAAGTGTTTTTGCTTAAAGTATCTGCCGAAAGGTATACAAAGAGGCCAAGTCCTAACAATATTATTTTCCAAAAATCAATATCTAAAAAACAAAATAGGATGAACAAAAATTGTTTACTAAATTAAACAAGAAAAAGATGAGCAAAAAAAGTTAATATGTTAAAGACAGATCCAAGAAATCTTAAGTATTAGGTTTTGTATGATGTGTTTACTTAACTAAGCAGTTCTAGAAGCTAAAAGAAAAATAAGGCACTCATAAAACCATCATTTGGTTAAGAAAATAACTTACAAAAGACAAAAAGAAGTTTTTTTTAATTCAGATTGACTATCAAATGAAGTAAAAAGAGCTAGGGCAAGTTTCATGTTTATACTTTTATAGGAGAGTTCTAGGGGGTATACTTCCCTTTTTGCTAGATAAAACCTTATAGAAAAAACAAACAAGCAGCATTATTTAGTAACAGATTCGATGAACAAATAAATTTGAATCAACTTCAACATGAATCTAGGAATTCAATAGCTCAATCTCAAAAACATACATATGAAGCAGTAGAAACTGTATTAAGAAGTAAAATGGTTTATCCAAATTTTCAAATCTTTTTTGCTTTATGAATATTTTTCAATTTTCTGTACTAGTTTCAGATTTTATATAACATAAATTATGTTCAAACCAATTGTGATAACAAGACTTACTGATAACATTAAATTTAACAGTGTATCTTGCACTGCTCTTTACCCCAATACAGGTTGAATTAAAAGGATTAATCTTAAAACTTTTCTGTTTAACTGGAAATAAGCTGGTTGACCAATAAAACCTGTTTTTAGAATATTCTAGAGCCACATCTTCTGGAGAGGATCCTTCATATAATGTGTAGTCATCATTAGGATGGTCCAAGTGAAACTACAAAATATAAATATAGTAAAATGGGTCATTTCGATCAGTTATATTTACACATACCATTACACTCTGCCATGTGTAAATTATAGATTTCTTTCGACCTTTATAGCAAAATGTTTGTAATTCGAGACCCCCATTTGGATCAAATGTGAACTTTTCTGCACTTTCCAAATGATGTACTAGAAACAAATTAATATATTATATTCTTAGGAATTCAATAATTTTTAAATTCAGTAATAAAATAATTATTTTACCATTTTTATAGCCCGTGGCTGGATTTAATTGAATTATAGAGATTACCAATGATAAAAACAGTTTTCTGGACATTGTTGGCCTAAAAATAAAACTGAACTAAAACCTTAAAACAACCAACAACCAACCAAATCAAAATATTTAAATTGAGGTTATGTTTATACAGTTTATGGATAATATTCCAACGACAGGCTAGAATAATTTATTTTATTTACTTTTTTCGCATTGTAATTCCTTTTATATACTTTAAAAGTAACAAATTAAATAAAAAGTGTTTATTTAATTACTAAGTTAGATTTATTATATTAAGATATTTTCTTAAAACGACGATATTTATATCTCTTCGATATTTTAAGCTTTAGCCATAACTAACACCGGTACATCTTGACATCTGTCAATCCAACATTTTTAAAGGGCTTGTTTGGTTTCAATTTCAATGTTGATGTAATTTGGTATTCGTTTTAATTTTTAGTTTTATGTGAACATAAATGGGAAGACAACTTGTTAAACTTCTACAGGTCGGTAAAATAAAATATGGTAGTGGACTACACTTACAACAACACTTTGTTCAGCTTCATAAAACGACAACAGAAAATCAAAATACTCTGATTATTGTTGAGCACCCTCATGTGTATACAACAGGAATTCGCGACAGCAAATATTCACAAAGTGAAGAAGAAAAGCTTAAGCAAAAAGGTGAAAACATTTATACATTTATAAACAAGTTATATAACCACATATTCCATTGCTTAAGTTCTAAGCTAGTCTTCCTATTACCACTGATATATCATACCATTAATCTTGTGCATAAATTTAATTATTTCTAGGAGCTGAATTTTATAGAACCAATAGAGGTGGTCTAATAACATACCATGGACCTGGACAACTAGTGGCATATCCCATTTTAAACTTACACAATTTCTCTCCAAGGATTCACTGGTATATTGATAAAATAGAAAAGACCATCCTCAATTTGTGCAACAAATTTAAATTGGAGGCTGAACTGCTTGGGGACAGAGGTGTGTGGATTAAGGACAAAAAGGTATTTTTTTTTGTAAAATTAACAAATTCTTTTTCAAATGATATATATTTTAGATTTGTTCTGTTGGACTTCATGGGTCCCGTTACATTACCTCCCATGGTTTTGCCCTAAATTGCAACCCTGATCTCTCATGGTTTGATCATATAGTACCATGTGGAATTGAAGGAAAAGGTGTTACAAGTCTCAGTCAAGAACTGGGTAGAGAAGTAACAATTGCAGAGACTCTACCAGTCTTGTTGGAAAGTTTTAAGGAAGTCTTTGAGGTAGATCTCATTGATTATCCTGAAGAAGAGGCTGGTTATATCCATAAGACTTTTGTTAAATAAGAAACAAATATATGTACATACATTATTTATGTAAGTTATTATGTAATCTTTGTCTTTTATATACCTGATTTGAGATTTTTATAAACAAATATGTATTCTATATTTGTTTTTGATAATAAAGAATTTATATTAATGATTTATATTTCCACTCAATTCTTCTTTGATGGCAGATAACTAGGATAATAGAGGGTAGACTGCCTAGAGTGCATTATGTTTATTTAAACATGGCTTAGCATCACATGTCTTAACTAGTTGAAACTCAGAGACCAACGACAGAAATAGAAAGAAGTTCAATGTCAACAACTTTCAGCTTCAAGGGACCAAATCAGTGATTCAGAATAAATTATATTACATTGAGACACTGTGTTACAATATCGTTGGGACTAAAAATTGCTAAAATATAATATATGATTACTGGAAATTATTTTTTCTAAATGAAATTATTGGCCTTGTCATGATATGAAGAGAAATTCCAGCTGGAAAAGATACATTTACAAATTACCTGTTACGTTCAAAGCCTATTTGTAAGGAACATACAATCAAAGTGAAATAAAAAAAAATGGAAGAGTTTGAAAAACAGATTCGTGAGGTAACCGATGAAGTGTATAATTACAGTTCCACATTGGTGCACAGCAGTGTTTTGTATGAAGTGTCTGAGAGATAAAAGAGATCTTGCAATCTTATGATCTTGAATATACCTCAAGATGGTGAGAAAGATGACACATCTAAAGCTAAGGAAATGCTGTCGGGCATAGCTGGTTCTGATATAAAATAGTTAGTTTGACTAGAATTGGAAAACGAAATAAAAATGGGTATCAATAACTGCGACTAACTCTAGAGACACCTGAAATGGTTCAGTTAATATTGAGAAACAAGAAGGAGTTGGATAGAGGTGTAAAAGTATTTCTGGAAGCTGATTTATCTACTGAAAAACGAGCTGAGGTTAATGCACTGAAAAATGAGTTAAAAGAAGGACAGAGTAAGGGTGAATCCGATCTCATTTTGAAATATGTTAATGGTGTGCAAAAGTTAATACAAAAAAACTGAACATATCTACCAGGTTCAAAGCCCCCTCAGTCGAGACTTCAAAAGTGCTGGTGTATTTTCAGAATGTCAGAGGGTTACATACAAAACTTCAGCTACTGTTTGAAAATACTTCTTACTCACTATATGATATTGTAGTTTTTAATGAAACATGGTTAACAGATGACATAAAGAGTGCCGAACTGCAAATGTTTGACTACAACATATATAAAAGAGATAGATCCTCAGAAACAAGTACCTCAGTTTCCAAACGTTTAAAAAGGTTTTTCATCACTGCTGAATAAATGGTTATGGATTCATTTCTTTTTTGCTTTTTACTTTTAATTTCATTGAAGAGATTATCATTATAATCTGGGTGCAAAATAGCAGATTTGAGTAGGGCTACTAACTCATCCCAACTATTAATTTTATCTCTAACACTCCTATACCAAATAGCAGCATTACCTTCAAATAATTCAATGGCTGAACGAAACAGGATGTCTTCGAAAATATTCCTAGACCTAGCAGAATCTTCAACTTTTCTAAAAATGTGGGAAGAACTCTGTTCCTAAGAAGGAACAATGCCAAAAGTGCGTTCCTTTTGAAAATGCAGATGAAGAAGAAAAGAAAGCGATCAAAATTGACTACTTATCTCATCAACACGAAAAAAATTAAGCAGGGCAGAGAAGCAAGCGGACAAAGATAAAATATCTGAATCTTATAAGGTTGCCTGTTTTGACTTAGAAGCTACATTACCGCTTCCAAAAGGTGATGTGTCCACGTTTTATTATAAGTCAAAACCTTCTATGTACAATTTTACAGTTTGCGACCTGGCGAGTAAAGGGCAGGGCTCGGTTTATTGTTTTATGTGGCATGAGGGACAGGGAAAACGTGGACCTAATGAAATAGGGTCATGTCTCTTAAATTTCTGCAACGAAAATCCGAAGAATACGAGGGAAATAATTTGGAAATTGTATTTTATTCAGATAATTGTTCGGGACAGTAGAAAAACAAATTTGTATTAGCAGCTTACTTTCATGCATTAGCCAATTACAGTAAAATAAAATCAATTACTCATAAGTACCTGGTTACTGGATATACTCAAAATGAAGGAGACAATGTCCACTACCTCATAGAAAAAAATATAAAAAGGAGTCTTAGATCAGGGCCAATTTCAACACCAGATCAGTACCAGAATCATTTCCTTGCCAAACGGCAAGGAAAACCGGAGAACCTTTTACAGTAGTGGAAATGAGTTACGATCACTTTTTTGATATAAAAAAGTTAACTTTGCAAACCTCCTTTAATTTACTAAGACTTTAATGATACTGTGAAGTTAGTGAAGCATTGTTTAAAGTTGAAAGAGATAATTTGGACCAATTTTACTATAAGATGTCATTCGGTCAGTCTGAATATAGAGCTGTAAGTATTAAACCAAGAAAAAATCTGCGAACAAACAACACTACCTCTCTGAATTTTAGAAACATAAAATTAGAATGTGCTTACAAAGCGCCTCTAGAGATACCTAAAAGAAAATATGAAGACCTAATGCTGACAATCTATTAAAAAGTGCATGACATTTTTACAACAGTCTCAAACCCTATAAAGAATAATAATCAACCGCAACAAACTTTGCATTGTTTGTGTTGAGATTTTTCTATTTAAGCAGAAGAATGCACTATTTTATATTGTGTTTGTTTTATTACTTTAGTTTTTTGCAAACTATAATTTTAATGTATTGTCGCACACTTAAAAGCTGTAACAGTGTGTTTAAAATAAGTTAAGAACATATTTTAAAGGGTTGACTTAGTTATACAAAAATATTATTAGGTAGTATTTTTCTTTTATGGTTATAGTTGTAGCTTTTTGTTTTTTATTCACTATACTAGAAACTTATGCAGTCAGTTTTTTCAAAATGTTTAGGTTTTTTATTGTTAGTTTGTTTCTTTTCATTTTTCTAGAAATAGGGTATTTTTACAGAAACGAGTTGTAATGTTTTTCGAATAAAATCCAATAAAAGTATTTTTTATTTATTTTTATATTCTTCGTCTTCAATTTGTTACTTATTTTAATAATTGTTTTAAAGAAAATATAAATGTCAATAATGGCACATTTTTAATAATTTTAATTTTTTTCTTAAAAATAAAGAAAAAATATTTTTTTATCATTTTATAAATAACAAAACATGAGAAAAATATTTAGAACTGACATAAAAATATTCACGAAAATCTCAATTTACTATTTTTAAATTACAAAACTTTTATTTTCTACAAAGTCTAATTTATTAGATGTGCCATTATTGCATCCAGTGAGCGATATGTACACTTGGTTTTACATATTTGGCAACTACTGTAACAATGTAATTATTGACCATGTGTAGTAAGGGTAAATTTATTAGTCAAAAAGTTTAATGCATTTTATTTAAAGGATATAACAAAAGTAAAAATCTAAATAAACAAAGCTATATTATAGAGTGTAATGACTTAACAATAAATTTATAAAAATATTTTTTAAATTCAACATTGCTTTGCTGTTTTGAAAACATTTTCGCTTACAAATTTGTCTATGAGTACTTATGTGTAGCAAACTTGTTACTAATTACTAGAGAAATTTTTTTCCACTGACACATATACATAAAAAGCTTTACATATTGTACACATGTGTTAACCAAACTGTCCTTTACATGTTTTTAGTAAATAAACCTCTCTGTGCACATTTACTACTTCAGCTGTGGCAACCCAAACTCGTCAACTGGTACCGTATCCTAAAAATAATTCATATACAATTAGATATGTCATTGAAAGACACATTTTTCTTTATATCATACCTTGGTTCCTTTATTTCCAATAGCAGCTGCAGCTGCTTCTGGTTTAGTAGAAGGTGCTTCAGGGGCATTGAGAACATTATCCAGGTAGCTCTGATCATCATCCAAAGCCATCTCATCTCCTAAGGCATCCAGTTCTGCAGCCAGTTCATCTTCATCTACCTCGACAGTATTATAGGTTCTGCCCAATGCTTCCTGTACTTCATCTGCTTGTTCTAACATATCAGCTAGTTCATCTTGTACATCCTGAAATAAAATGAGTTTGTATATTTTATTACTATATGATCTACAAAATATATGTTTGATTTGTCTAATTAAATAATCAATTCTGGCCATTGAATGATCTAACTGAAGATAAGTAACTTTACATTATGTTAGCTAGTCTTATGGAGTGTTAAACTAAAGAAATTCAAATGCATTAAACTAATCATTGCCCATAAATTATTTATATAAAGACTTTTAGACAACTGATTCTAAGAAACAACACTACTACAACTATGAAAAATAGAAAGAATAATGCCAAAGTTGTCTAAAACTTATCAAAAATTACTGAAAACTGAATTCAGGCAACTTACAATGAAAACAGCAGAGGATTAAGTTACTTACATCAATATCATCAATGTTAATTTTCTTAAACTCCTTTTTCATTTCTTTCATACCATCTCTCATAGCTACTACTGTTACTTGAGTATCTTTCAATGCTTGATGTGCAAAGTTAGCTTGCTCCATGTTGAAGGACTGTCCTCTTAAATTCTCAAGCTGACCTTCATACATCTTTTTCTGCTTGAGAATCCTAAGGGCTTTCTGTTTAACAGCATTTTTGGCAGGCCCTTCTCGCATTTTGGACATTTGATCTCTAAATTTACGCAAGTCATTTTCTAAGGCATTAATTTTTTTCTCTACACCTTCAGCTCTTTGATCCACCTAAAAATTATAGTAGGGATTAGCAGTAATTATAATGTTTTATTAAGTTTTTGGGACATAATTACCCCTGATATAACGTCAGTTATGCTTGGACCTGGTTCTTTTGGTTTTCCTTTTCCGAATAAACGATTCATTTTGTATTATTATAAATTTAATATGAAATTTTTGAAGAATTATTTTTGCTTAATTAGTCATAAAATTGGGATTCTTATAAAAAAGTCAATGTCAAGCGTAGATGTCAGTTGACTGTCGTGAAGTTCGCCATAAATATTTTTGTCTATTTAAAAAAATACATAGGCGGGCAATATTTACTATAAGTCAAATTTAAATCAGGAAATTGTAAAAAAGAACGTAGACAATAGAATAACTTTGTTAACAACCGTAACAAATATGTTTCAAAAAATACTTGTTTTAATTCAAATGATTAAATATAGGTAGTTCGAATGTATTAAACGGCATTCAATTTTTATTATCTCAAAAATTATGTATACTCCATTCGCTTAGCTCGGGCATATTTTGACAGATTCACTGTCGGAAACCTACAACACAACAATTCCTACTTCTCAGTATTAATAGCTGAAGCACAGAATAATAAACAATCAGAATGCCCACTCTCCATGGAAAATTAAGTACGCGCATCTCCTTCGCGCAGACGTTCCGCCATGTTTTAGAGGAAACTAGTGTTGTTTATGTGGTGTGCATAGACAAAATTAACCCGGTTTAATTTACTTACGGCAATCATAGACATACTATACAATTATATTAACATTGTTAAATATAATAACATAAATATAAACAATTACATAACCTCATAAATCATATGTCTGTGTTATGTGTTTCCTTCTAAAACATGGCGCGCGTGCTGAAAAACTTCAAAGGCGGCATCTGAGAGTGGACATTCTGATTGTTTATTATTCTGTGGCTGAAGTATACTACTATTGCAGACTTCTTTCTTTGAAAAAAGAAGAATTATTCTAAATAGTGGAAGTGTATACTAAACCCATCAAATTTTGGGTAGTATATATTTAAAAAATATATTTTAGTTGTTATAATTTAACATAACTATTATATGGTGCAGATAAATATATATTGATTGTCGGTAATTCGCACAGTTCTATTTTATTTACTATTTAATTTGTTTACTATTATAATATTGGCTATGAGTACGTGTGCTTGGTTGTATAGTAATTTCCAGCCACTTTTAGTCTGTCAAAAAGTAACTAACTTCGCAAAAAAATAATTACTAAATTCATTAAACAGTTCGGACTGGGACTGGGAATAGCGAACCGAGTATACCACATCTCAATATTGTCAAATGCCTTTTGATAGTCTACTAAGGCAAGAAATACGAGTAGTTAGTATTCATTTGCCTTCTCTATCAATGTTCTCGTTGTCAGCAGATGGTCTGATGTACTTGGATGTACTCCTACATCCTTTGCGGAAGCCAGCCTATTCTGCTTGTTTTTAATTACCCATTTTGTAAGTCAACCAATTGTTAATAATTCTCATAAACAGTTTGTACACTTGACCAAGGTCACGATAGGTAACGATATAATCATTTAAATCACTTGTGTCCCCTTTTTGTGTAGGAATATTACTAGGATTTAGTTCCAGTCTTTAGGGATTTTGCTATTATGGGGACATCTATTAAATAGCGCTGTTAGTAATATGATTGTTATTGACTTGCTTGGCTAGTGTCTTAGAACTTTATTATTTTTTATCTGTTTTAAGGCTCTTTCTATTTCGGATCCCTGTATATTTGGTAGTACCTCTGATCCCACATTCTTTATTTTTCTTTTTATTTTTTCTCTTGTTGGTCCTTAGGCTGGATTTGTGAGGTATTCTAGAAGTCTTCAACTATCTTTGTTATTTTATATTTATTCTTCTCTTTCTTATTATTGGTGTCTTTAATTTTGATAATTTTCTGAACATTCATTTTTATGTTGTTTTCATGATATAAGGAAACAAGGTATGCTCACTAGGTGGACTCGTTTTTGCACATTTCTGCGCCGACCAAAATCCACCATCTTTTCAATATGTCACATGCGTGTAGGGATGGTGACCTGATCCCGTACCAGTTACTTTGGAACATGTATTTTATTTATACTTGTGGAACTGATCCCTAACACCAATATATTATAATAAACGAGTACGGGTCATGGACGTATAAATAAAGATCTTTATTTATACGTCCATGGTACGGGTACTGTACTCATAGTAAGTGTAAGTGAGCATACCTGACCTGATCCACAAAAATACTTGGATCAACCACCTCTACATGCGTGACGTCTGCTTTGTTTACTTTTGCATTTTTTAACCTTACTTTGCAATGTATTGGAATTTAAAAGTAAATGTGTTTTTGTTTTGTTTCGATTTTTTAAAAATTATTTTAGCAATAGTCTGTTCAGATCATTTTAAATATGAATTAATTGGATTAATGTATAATATTAATTTTATTTTATTTAATTTAACTACGATATTTCGTATCAATTTTGTACATATTTGAATTGCCGCCTTCAAAATGGCGGATTTTGGTCGTAAACGCGATTGGCTGTTCAAAATAGATGCGCGTGAGCATACCATATTTCCTTATATCATGGTTGTTCTCCATGATTTGCTCTATTAAGTTTTCATTCCATTTTTTGATGTCAGATTGGATATTTTCTTCATTAGTTTCGTCGCTTATTTTGCCTTCTTTAGTTTTTGCTTTCTTTGCGACCTGTAGGTTTTTATTTATGTTTTTGATAACGTTGTCAATTTAGTCCCAATTATGTAAAGGATCTGATTCGTACTTACACGCTAAGATCTTTGTTTGACTTTTCGTAAAAAGTAAAAATAGTAACCTGTATTAAGATCCTACAACAAAATAGCTTCTAAAAAAATTATATTTTAGTGTGTTGTATAACTTTTAAACGTCTTTTTGTCGATATTTTTATATTGAAATTCTTAAAAATTAAATATCAGCTATTTGTATTATTTTTAATCCTATTTAACTCAATCGCCTTGTCAAGCCCATTGAAATTACATTACGTACGCCAATGTCTGGAATTGTGTTTGAAAATGAATACGTTGCTTACTTCACATCAGTTCATTTTATATTCGCGTTTTGTGAAATTTAGGTATAATCAATGACGTATAATATATAGACTACGCAGTCCCCTATTCTCGCTATAGAATCGAGTGTCCGAAAGATCTCGGCTCAAGGTTGAAGGTATGTTTATCATAACAGCGGCGTGCTCATTAAAATGTTAATGACAATAATTATTTTTTTAATTAAAATTAAATATTTATGATTTCTTTTGTTCCCGTTTATAAGAGAAATAATTATTTTGATAAAATAGTATGGCATTGTACTAAAATAGTAAGTAAATAACTCTCAACAATTTAAAATAAAATTTGCTTGTCACACAAAATGGAGAAAATGTTTTCATACGGCTATGATGTTTTCAAACACAAGATCAACTTCGTGATGCTTCGTAAGAAATCATGAACTTCGTGCATCTTCGTATCAAAACAATAAACAATAACAAAGGTATTCATGTTTTGGACACTTTTTAAAGCGTTCACCGAGTCTATATATTATACGTCATTGGGTATAATTTACTAAAGACAGTTTTACATTATGCTATTTTCATGCTAGGCAAGAGCCATGCAAGACAGATCATGGAACTGCGCATGCCCACGGGCTATTTCCATGCAATTCCTGTGCTAGACGAAAAATTAGAACATGTTCTATTTTTCATGCAATTTTCTTGCAATTTATCGTTAAAATTCATGTTGCCAACATAACAATTTATAATAGATTACAGAATAAAACATAACCTTATCTCTATCTTTAGCGTCCCTTAACCCACATGTGTATTGTTGTGTTTTGATTTAAATTAAGTTTATTAAGTGGTGATAAATAGATATACTATGTCTAAAGTTAATGTAAAAACGACTGGGTGAGTCGTTGACTATGGATGATTGTTGCTACAACAGCAATATTCAACAATAACAATGTTTTCTTTTCTTTGGTTGACATCCTTCACCCTTTTAATAACCATAAATAGTGTATATTTATTTATTATATTATTTATTTTAGTACTTAATTATATTTTTTATTTAAAATAAAATAACCTCAAATTGATAAATATTTTCTCTGTTGGCAACAATGAAAGTGGGATCTAAAATTGCACAGAAATATCTCTGATGTAAAAAGGTCAAGCTAGGCAAGAGATGTGCCATGCAAGACGGACTTGCATAGCATGAGACTTGCATAGCCTAGATGTAAAGCTGCCTTGATGTAAAAAGGTCAAGCTAGGCAAGAGATGTGCCATGCAAGACGGACTTGCATAGCATGAGACTTGCATAGCCTAGATGTAAAGCTGCCTTAAGATTTTATAATTCCCGAAGCGCTTTTTTTACAACTTACAATTCAACTATGTTCTTGATCGATGATAAGTTTAAGATATATTTAATTGCTCGCCCAGTTTTTCGAGCCACTTTTATCTTTTTATGCAATCTGCAGCCGATAAGGATTTTTATACAATGAATCCATAGAGTACAAGATCCTCTATTGTTCTCGTCTTAACCAAAATATCTTAAGTGTGATTGCTACGTTTTGGTTGACAATCAATGTCCCACTAATGATTGTTTTAGGGAGAGTACTAAGTTTAATACTATATCCAAGGTAACTTAATTATCTTCTCTTTTGGGAAGGGAAGTAACTTTTTCAACTTAAAGATACTTAAGAGGGTAGGCGCAAAATTTCGGGCCAATTCTTTTAAACGCATTCATTTTTTTTTTCGAATCCTGAGAAAATTAATAAGTATTATATATACAGGGGACACATGATAAATAAAAAGCAGGTGAATAAAAAGTATTTAATTTGGAAAACAAATTAAAACTATACATTGCTTTTTTTATTATTGAACAACAAAAATCAAAAATTAGTTTTATTTATAACGCTACATTATATATTTTTTATTTTAATTCGTCTAAAACAAAACACTAGCTATTGCTTCACTCCTCTTCTCCTGCCTCTTGTTCCAGTATCCTCTTAAAACTGAACGGTTCAAAAATATATCCCACACCAGAGTAGAACTTGCTCATGAACTCTACCCAATGCAGACGAAGCGTATGCAAGAAGGCCGATAAACCTTCCATGAGTACCAAGATGGCGACGGTGAAGAAGGCCCATGCGGCAAATAGAATGAAGATCATTGGCACTCCTATGAATCCTTCTCTTCTCAAAGCAATCTTTGAGAACAACATGGTCCATAATACTTCCGATAATTCTAAAACAAATTAAAAATTTAACGTGTAAAGTGGATTTAGAATGTTGTTTAATTATATCGTGCTTAGTCTTTTGCCAGATATATCTAAGATAAAACCCATATGAATAATACTTACGCGCATGTGCAAGGGACAAGGCCCACAAACGCAAATACGAAGCGGTGTGAGAAATTGTACTGAGTGTGTATTCAATAGTATGGATAGCTGAGTGAATGAAAATTTCACTCATAGGTTCCTCCTCTTCTTCTTTTTCGTGATGTGAATGAGCAGCTGCCTCAGCAACGCCTTGAAGGTTGTTTTCGATCTCCTCCAGTTCCATTCCAAGGTTTACGTCTCCATTTGTTTTATTGTTCTGCAAAAAGGATCGGATACATTAAAAATATACTTAGTATATATTGCATACTAATCATCGACAACAATTTTGAAGTAAGCTATGAAATGTTAAGATTCGTAATAGGTAATTGGACCAGTTTCACAGAAGGCATTTATTACGTGGTTTTTGCGTAGTAAATAAAGTTTCTAAGCTCGAAATAGAACACAAATGAAACAAATAATTCATTTAATATCAAAAATGTCATGAAATTTAAGTAGCACTAAAGAATTGGTTCATAAATGTTACACCTGTTTAACACTGTATACAATACTGATACAAATATGACTGTTCTACACATTCATCACCATACTTAAACAAGCTAATATAAAGAATAGATATTACGATTGCCCAAGAATCTTGTTATTGAGAGTTTTCGCAAAATATTTGTTAAAATCATTCATAATCGTGTCTACCCAAAGTTGGAACTTGATATTAGCGTTACAGTTAAGATTAAGAAAAGATTTCAATGTTTTCATGCAATAAAATGCCTCGTGCATCTAATTTATAGTTATGAAAACAAAATATTCCTCAGCGGATTATGTTACGACGTAGTGACACAAAAAATGAACCCAATGTGAAATTAGATGGGACACGGATCATTTAGAGCATACCTTGAGAGAATAGACAAGACAGTAGATTGGAGTGCAGTGTAAACAACACAGCAGAATGCTGTGTGTTCGAATGCAGAAGTTCAATGACGAATGAGCAGAGCTATATGCAAGGGTGGGTATCTTCGGAGCATACAATTTTATAACCATAGTAAGGAACGGGAAAAATGAGTTTAAAGAAGTACTGGAAGCTGTTACAAAAATCGTTAAAAGAAAAGAGATTTTAGAGAGAAAGAGAGACAACAGGGGTAAAAATAAGTAGCATAAGCAACAGAAAGAAAAAGAAAAGAGAAGAGAAAGGGTGGCTACTCGCGCGAGAGAACAGTGCCACGCGCATAAGCCAAGAGTGGTTTTAGTTGGTAGGCATTGTACCGTGGATGCATCCGAGGGCAAGACCCCAAAAGAGGAATTGCTTTTGGATGTACTCCGTCTACTCTGAACCCAATTCACGTCAGGCGATTCACCAGGTATGATCTTTAAAAGATTGTCCACTCTCACACAAAAAATGTGAAATTACATAAATGAGATTAACTGTAATTGAACTGGTACTGATAATAATCATAGGAACTGTTACAAATAGAGGTGGGAAGTGGGAACGAATTATTTGAATAGTTCTAGTAACTACTTACACAATTGAAGTAGAGTCCCTAACGTTAATAAGAATTAGAGTAAAATAACACAGTACGTAGTAGGTAATGAACAAACTATATAATACTTACACTGACCAGTTGTACGCTTCCATTTTTGGCCTGCTTCTTACGTTGACGCATTATGTACAATGGTTTTCCGAGCAACATGAACGGGATGCAAACCAATGCACAAAGAACTAAGCCCATTTGAACTTCACGTTGTCCATCGTACATGTATATATCGCAACCTCTTCCGGCAGTGCTTGGCGAGAACAACATCATGTTGATGAAGTAAATCAGCACAGAAGGGGCACAAGACGAACCGTCCTTAGCGACTGGATCATCTAAAATCAAAGAAGTAGGGTTATTTTTGATTTTTAGCCTAACTTTTTAGGTTAGAGTATTAAGATTTAGGTAAGTATTAGAGTATTACCTATTTTTAATCTAACTTTGGAAGCTATTATCAGAAAACTAGATATGAACGGCTGTATTAATACAAGATCCGCTCAAAAATGCGCATATCCTGATGATGTTGCCATAATAAGTCGCAATATAAGTGTATTAAGTGAAAAAGCTATGGATTTAAAAGGAAGGAATTTAGAGGGAAGCTGCTGCATTTGGTTTAATACAAATAAAAGGAAAACAAAATTTATGGACTCTGGTGGTGGAAGTTTCCACTACAAAAACAAAAGCTAGACATTTTTCACCAAAATCACATCCATAAAGCTCCCAAATCTATTTTTATATACTTCTCCTATAGAATATACAAAAGAAATAAAATTACTAGGAATGCAACTGGACTCAAAGTTAAGTTGGACAAGTCATATACACTCGCTAAGACTATCGTGCCAAGCTGGATTAAACATTATGAATGTTATGAAATCTGTATCACATTAAAGTTAGGGAGCAGATTTTCCAACCCTAATAAAATTATATAGTGCGTTAATTAGATCAAAACTGGATTAAGAATGTGTCTTTAGATACTCTTTAGAGTTCAGCCGTTAGATTTGCTCTTGGGAGATATAACTATCAGCATAGGGAAATCAATGGAACATTTGACACAAAACGTGACACGTGACATTATGTGACGTTTGACCTTGCACGTCACAATTACGTGACGTTTGACTTAAGATGTGACATTCTATGTCACATAATGTCACGTATTACATAAAATGTCACAAATTAGGCCACGTTTTGAGTCAAATGTCACATCTTAAGTTAAACGTCACGTAATTGTAACGTACGACGTCAAATGTCACATATTGTCACATAATGCCACATATTAGAAGAAGGAGGATATTTTTCAGCATTTTTAAACTGATAGTTTTTGCCGTTCCTGGACAGTTTTTAAGAACGAGTTAGTTCAATAAAAATGATAAACTTCGTATTCGACTATGTTATACAAAGATTAATATCCATTTTTTTATGCAAAGGTTATAAATTAAACTCACTAAAAAACATAAAAAGGTTATTATTACAATTTGAAAAAAACATGCAACACCAGCCTCTAGACACAGGTCGATCGCCGTTCAAAAGGTGGTAGCTCAAATACGAGATATAGGCGTAGTTACGCTAATTAATATTACTCAATCAATATAGCAGTATTCTAATAAATGACTTACTTTGTCCATTAAGCCATCCATCGTTTTCTCCAGAATACCAGATCCATTTCATGAACATCATTATAACCATGTACATGAAGAGGAATAATAGCAAAAGTATTTGCGGTATGAACTCAAAAACGATGCTGTAGTACTTTTTAAAATGTCTGAAAATAAGAATGAATCATAATATTGTACAGCTTTCAAGCGATGGGTAGTATCTAAAATAAGATAAAATACTTACACAAAGTTGAATGTGCTGCAGATTACTCCGAACAACATGTGCACTATTCCCAAGATGATGGACATTTTCATTTTTAAGGAATTCAGGAAGATAATTTTATTTTTAGCCGACTGTAAAATAAATATATATGTCAGTCAAACATTTATTATTCATATATTTTCTTTTGGGAATCACCTTCGCGGTATAATAGAAGAGGTGAGTGAAACAAGGGTTATATGATAGGATTACTAAATTTTTTTAGTCTGCCTTTATTAGGACGTCGGCAACTATATCACCCTACTATATCTTTACTATTGACCTAAACAATTCTATCAATATTTTACTGGTATTCTGAGAGCTCTTTGCAAAGAGAAAAGAGCAATGGTACGAATCATGCTTGGAATATCACTAAGAGAAAGATTAGAAACATCGAGATAAGACGTAGAACGAAGATTAGGGATATTGTGGAAGAAATTACAAAAATGAAATGGCGCTGGGCAGGTCACGTAGCCCGATATAATGACAACAGGTGGACACGGAGAATTCTAGAATGGAGACCAAGGACGACAACAAGAAGCATGGGAAGACCTCAAAAAAGATGGGTAGATGACATAAGAGCAGTGGCAGGCAAACAGTGGATTAGATTGGCGCAAGATAGAGAAAGGTGGAAGCAATTGGGAGAGACCTACATTCAGGAGTGGATGGAAAATGGTTGACAAAGAGAGAGAGATTCTGAGAGCACCGACGAAAGGCAATATCAGCCCCTGCCTAAAATGACAAACCAGGGATCAGAATTAATGCCAGAAATAACTCCATACGAAATCAAAACGGCACTTTTAGAAATGAAAAATAACAGATCCCGTGGCGATGATGGTAGTGATCCAATTAAGTGAAAATAAAATTATCCAGGCTTTGGCCAAGGTTTTCACCGAATGTATCTACCAAAGAAAAACTCCTTCTCAATGGAATAATGCAGTCATTACTTTATTACACAAGCAAGGAGACATAACAGATTTAATAAACTACCGTGCTATCAGTTTGCTTTCACACATATATAAACTTTTCACACAAACTATCAAAAAAAGACTGAACGCTAAATTGGACTTCTATCAGCCTAGAAAACAAGCTTGATTTAGATCGGGATACAGCACTAACGACCACTTACGATAAAGAACCTAATAGAAAAGTCTGCAGGATACAACAAACAAACATTGACACTGATATTTGTCGACTACGAGAGAGCATTTTTTATTAGAGTGTTTTCGAAAGGATAAAGTGTATTTTATGCATCGATGGGTGTGACGATGGACGATCTTGAATGAAAACAAGAGGCTAAAGAGTGGTTTGAACATGGTCCTTCGGCTCCGAAACGAGTTTGCGTCCAGAAATCGGTCAAGAAAGTGTTGGCATCAGTTTTTTGCAATGCGTAATTGGCAATGAAAAATTTATTTTAAATAAGGAAGATCGAGAAGCTTAAATTATTCTGTGTCTGTTCGTAAAGCATCAAATTTGGTCGGACAAGGTTTTTAACATTGCAATTGTACTATCTGAATAAATTCAAACTACTGGAAATTCGAAAAACCCTCGTTATTTTTAATTTCAAGTACCTATAATTGAATTCAGTCTTACAAAAATAAATAATCTTTTATATTTCATATAATAGTTACGTCCTATGAACAAAATAACTTTGATAGTCACTATTTGAAAACTTTTTCCACTCGTCTCTAATTGTTCACAATTCATTGAAAGCCATATTACCTTTATGAGGTTAGGTGTTGATTCAAAACAAGAATTGACTAAGCTATATGTAGTTTATTTGAATACATACCTGCCAAACAGGATCAAGCCCAATATAGTACGGTGTGCCCATATAGTTCTTCTTAGGTAAAAAGTCGATTTCTTCGTGTAATTCGGTGCTTATATTGGTAATATTCACATACCACTTCGAACCAAATATATTCATGGATTTGGAAAATATATCATTGTAAACAAAGCCGGTGTAGAAGGAGAAGATACCCATCAGCAAAATGATGTACCTTCCTCCGAAAAATATCACAAATATTTCGCTTTTATTTTTCATAGCCATGATCTTCTTTTCCGATAATACCAAGTACAAACCAAACAGGAACATAATTACGGCATGGCCACAATCCCCAAACATCACAGCGAATAAGAAGGGGAACGTGATAATCGTGTACAAGGCTGAAACAAAAATATTATACATTATTGGAGGAAATCGACAAATACTTCAATTACTTTCAACTATAATTGGTTTCAAATGAGTGTAGAGTAATAAATCATGAAGTGTCATAAAATTTGCCTGAATTCGGTGTCGTCATGGGCGTAGGCAAATGGACGGATGTCAACTTCGTCGTCAAAATTGATGTACCTCAAATATCATATTTTGGATATTTTGTGATAACCAATTTTATTTAATTTTTCGATTAACTTATTCTTCAAACTCGTATTCCATTATATGGTCATTAAAGCTAATTACATTTTTATTTATAAAAACAAATTCACTTCCTTACTGAACGAATAAAAGCATTAGAAGAAACTGATAAGGGTATGACGCACCTCCTAATATTACTAAGAACTAAAATAAATCAACATGAAGACTAATAACGCGTAATGAGGTTTTACTTACACTTTCATTATAATCCCTCTTTTATTTTATTATTATCATTCGACATTCGAGTTAGTAATTGTTACTACACCAATTAAACGTACAGTAATATTGTGATATAGAAATAGTGAAAAAGTTATAAAATGGCGACATTTACTCCAAAGAAAAGAGGTGTAAAAAATTCTCCGCTATCTGTTAGTAAAAAAGTTATAATTTTAAATGTATATGATTGCATAAAACACGATCACCCTAGTTTGTCTGTGCAAGAAAGTGTTGAGCGATGTGCCCGAATGACTGGAATTGGACAGTCCACGATTTTTAAATTATTGCGAGAAAGAAAGATATCAGGCCAGTTAAGTCCATGCAAGAGAAAATCAGGAAGACCAATAAAAATCTTAGGTGAAGACACCAAACGTGACATTCGAAGAAAAGTTCATTCGTTTTATTTTAAAAAAGGAAATACCCACCCTTGACAAAATACTAATGGAGATAAGCCAAGATAACGATATTCCTTTGATATCCAGAAAACTTTTATGGAAAACTTTAAAAAGTATGAATTTTTCCTGGGAAAAGCACAATCGAAAGGCACTATTACTGGAAAGTGATGAAATCATTTGCTGGAGACGAAAATATTTGAGAACTATAAAACAGTACCGCAGAGAGCACAAGAAAATAAATTTTTTATCTTGATGAGACGTGGATAAACGAAGGTTATATAGTCCAAAAAATGTGGCAAGATAAAAATGTAACAAGTGCTCGCCAAGCTTTCATAGAAGGCCTTTCGCCGGGTATTAAAGTGCCTTCGGGAAAAGGGAAGAGGCTTATAATTGCTCACATTGGAAGCGAAGAAGGATTTTTAAAAGAAGGTTTGTTAAGCTTTGAGTCGTTTCGGACGGGAGATTATCATGAGGAGATGAATTCGGATGTCTTCGAAGACTACTTCGGGGAAATGTTAAAATTTCTTCCAGCTGATTCGGTCGTGGTTATGGATAATGCAAGCTACCATTCAAGGCGCATAGAGAAGGTACCAACTTCAGCTTGGAGAAAGCAAGAAATTATTAACTGGCTGTCAAATAAAGGTATTCAGTTTGAGACGAATTCAATAAAGAAGGAACTACTAGCCGTAGTAAAACAACATAAATCTCGCTTCATAAAATATGCCGTAGAACATGTAGCAGAAAAGTATAAAGTAACTGTGCTACGCCTACCGCCATATCATTGCGAATTAAATCCCATAGAACTTATATGGGCACAAGTTAAAGGATATGTTGCAAGGCACAATACCACATTTAAAATGAAAGATGTCAAGGTATTGTTTGATCAAGCCATTATGGAAATCACATCAGAAAACTGGCAAAAAGCAATCCAGCATGTTTTAAAAGAGGAAGATAAAATGTGAGAACTGGACAACTTGGTCGATCAGGTGGTTGACCCTATAATTATAACACCAGGGGATGATGACAGTTCTTCGGATGAAGACTATAGTGATGTAGAATTGTAATAACGTATCCAGTAAAATTTTTGTAATTTTTGTGAATAAATTGATTTAAACTCCCCACAAGTGTTTCAATATGTAAAGTTCATTCGTGTGTGTTTGTGAGTATTTCCCGATTTCGGTTCGTATATATTTTATTGTTACATTTTATATTTTTTTAATAACACTGTGATGCTGTATTACATTTTTATTTCCTTTAATATGATTTTTAAGAATGCATATTCTTTTGTCAATTAACCCACTAGCGCGCCTCTGGCTCAGTGTTTATCTGTCGATAACAATGGACTAATCCCTTAAAACAGGGTGATACCTACCTGCTCTTTATGAAACGACAGAATTTTGCAATGCGGACGGAATTTATTGACGGATTATTGACGGATTACCCTGTAGCGCTTTTGAATACTTCATGAGATTTTATTACTCTACACTCATTAGAAATAGATTATAATTCCTTCATTTATCGGTTCGTTTCTAGTCAAAATCTTTCTAAAACAAGTTTATAATGACTAATTCAAACATTAATAGCCTAGTTGTTGCAGTTGCTGACTTGGAATGACATTAATCAAGTTTATTTTCATCCCTTACTTTCTATCATCTCCAATTAATTTAATACATAAATATGTAGTGTACCTATTTTTATTCTACAGGAGGAATGATAAAGATAATAAAAAGTATAGTTAGTAGTAGCGCAAGGTCTTAAAAACTCAATTCAACAGCATTTTCTTACACTTGTAGGTTTTTATCTATTTTCCTATAAACTTAATATTAGTATTAGATCTTACCTGGATTGATTTCTCTGTAGGAGGCGACACCATAGGAATCTATCAAGTTTTGGAAGCCTCTGGTGAATTTGTTAGTTCTGTTGAAAGTTGGGGGTGCTTCGTGAGTGTTGATGACGTTAAGGAACGAAGGGATTGAGCTTCCGCAAGCACTCTAGAAAACAAATTAATGGTTTCATTAAGTGGCGTCTTAAGTTCTATATATTGTAGCGGGATTAAATAAAACGAGCGGTTCGAATTTATATAAATATATTTATTTATAAGTTTACAATTCGGTAATATCTTATCAACTCCACCGCACTCATAACATCGTTACATATATATATATATATATATATATATATATAATATATATATATATATATATATATATATATATATATAGTACTGTTTTAGTATCATCTGTAGTACTCCCACCTGTAATTCGTTGTTTGACGGGTCAACCCCATCGAGTTAGAATCTATTGGTTAGAATAAATGACACCGACTCTAGTTGTAAAGATATTGAGTGTGGAGTACCGCAAGGTTCAGTATTAGGTCCCATTCTTTTTTTACTTTTCATTAATGACATCACTTACTTGAAAATTAAAGGGAAAATTTTTCTATTTGCTGATGATACCAGTATTACTTGGAGCAGCTCTGATATTTCAACGCTTCATTCAATTATAACCGCTGATTTACTTATAATCAAGGCTTGGTCAGACTCCAACTTACTTAGCTTTAACGTGGATAAGACTGTAGCATTATCTTATAAAGGAGTCATGCAACCCTTGCTTTTGAATGAGAGCCAAATCAATATCGTAAATTCCGTGAAATTTCTAGGTATTCTCATTGACAGTGATCTCAAATGGTCCTTGCATACTGACTCCTTAAGGAAGAAACTAGCCTCAGCTTGCTTTGCAATAAGATCTGTTTCGAAGGAACTAAATTTATCTTCTGCCAAAATGGCATATTTCTCATTGTTCGAGTCCCATCTTCGATATGGGCTTCCATTTTGGGGTTCTATTACAGTGGGTATTTTGGAAACGGTTTGTTTGATTCGAAAGCATCTAAACATTTTTCCCGATAGACCTGACCATGGCTACTCCATTAGAAATTCGGATTGTAACGTTTATTTGCCGATCCCGTCCACTCAGCTAGTAAAGAATTCTATTCTATATCGTGCAAAGAAACTTTATAATCACCTTCCAAGAGAAATTAAATCCGCAACATTCTTCATTAAGTTTCGTAAGGTGACAAAAATCTATCTCTCAGAAAGACCATATTATTCAGTTGACGAGTTTCTTAATGTATAACAAAGAAACAAAATTAGTATTGTTTATAATTACATTTGGGTGTCTCAAGCAGTGGCTACAACTTGTCTCATTTGTTGTTGTCTGTACAAATTATGTAGGTTATACAATAATCTTACTAATTTAAAATTGTGTTATTCTGTTTTTTACTATATTTGTTTTTGTTTTATACTTTTTGTACTATGTGACTGATTTATTTTTTAGCTTTGTCCATAAAATTGTTCAATAATTTTCAGTGACAATAAAGCATATTTCTATTCTATTCTATTCTATGGAGAAGTTTTGAGCATATTAACGTATGTATTAAAAACGGCGTAGGTAGGCGTGGCTAACGATAATACCAATATGGCGGTGGCATCAGGGCCAGACTCAATAATATTAAAATTACTATACAAATATGACTAGTTATTCAGAAGTTTTAATCATAATCTAAAAAAGTGCAATAAATTTTAATAAACTATGATTTATTTATCCCGCGGTAAACACTAAAAACACGATATATTATACATAAAGATAAATTAATACAGTCAAATACTATTAATTTATTCTCTGAAGTACGGGCCATTACTTTGTTTACATATTTGTAAACTAACCTGTGGAACGATATTCCTGAAAATGTTTTATTAACATTGCTTCTGCTACTGCAACTACGTTGAAAACAAGAAACCATTATTATGCACTATCACAATACATTATTACAGTTTCTATAAAAGTATTATAAAACTAAGAATATTCAAATAACAACAAATGTAAACAAACATATACGATCTGTCAAAAGTGTCAAAGCAATATTAACAATATGGCCGAAGTGAGGTCGTTTTTAGTCACGTGATGCCCTCTCCATAGATTCTAACTCAATGGTCGACCCTCTCCCGCGCTCGATACATCTGTGGAAAGTTCTCGGCGCTTTCGAGATGCAACCGTTATATGGGTTACGCCGAACATAACAATATAATGATTTTTATTACTTTTGTAATTAAAAAAACTTGACACAGAAAGGTTGTTTTTGTGTATTTTCAAACTTTGAAACAGTTTTTTCTATTAGAATTGTAGATACATAGTGTATCATTTGTAAGAGCCATTGGAATCGAAAAACGTCCCGATGGTCTCAACAAACGAATTGACTGCTCACAATTACTAAGGCTTTAGAAAGAGAGATGCTTTGTTCGGTTTGAATGTGCTGGCTCAGAGATACATGGACATGAATCAGGATGTACTTATGTTTTGAAGACTTTGAAAAGGCATTTGATAAAGTTCAACATAAAAAGCTTGTAGATATATGAAAAAGCAAAAATATTGACAGTCGTGATCTGAAAATTATATCTAAGTTATATTGGAATCAAACGGCCAAGGTAAGAGTTGATAGCCAGTACACCGAAAATATCAAAATACAAAGAGGAGTCCGCCAGGGTTGCGTGCTGTCCCCACTACTTTTCAATGTCTACAGTGAAGCGGTATTTCAAGAAGCGTTCTCAGACTCAATAAAAGGTATATCTATCAATGGAGAAGTTTTGAATAACTTACGTTTTGCAGACGATACAGTAATAATTACGGATAACAACAATATACAGAACGTAATGCAACGCCTTAATGAACGCTGTCATGAGTACGGACAAGATAAATTTAAAGAAAATCAAATGCATGATCATGACTAAATCTGCACATGCAAATATCCAATTGACTATTGAAGATACTGCAATTGAGAGTGTTAATAACTATAAATACTTAGGAACATGGATAACATCAGATGTAGACCAAACCAAAGAAATTAAGACACGTATTGAAATAGCACGTACATAATTTATTAAACTTAAAAAGTTTCTTTGTTGTCGGGATATAAGGTTAGAACTACGCCTGAGAATGCTTCGATGTTACGTGTTCTCTACTCTTCTTTATGGTTTGGAAGCTTGGACTCTAAAACAAGTTCATCTGAATAAGTTGGCCGCCTTTGAATTTTGGTGTTACAGAAGAATCCTGCGAATATCATGGATTCAAAGAATGTCAAACATGGAAGTAACTAGAAGGATAGAAAATGAGGCGGAAATAATATTAACTATTAAAAGACGAAAACTTGAGTACTTGGGACATGTGATGAGAGGGCAAAAATACGCATAATTACAACTTATTATGCAGGGCAAAATTCGAGGAAAGCGAAATGTGGGAAAGACGAAGAATATCCTGGCTTATGAACTTAAGGGAATGGTTTGAATGCAGTAGTGCAGAACTTTTTAGAGCGGCAGTCAACAGAGTCCGCATAGCCATGATGATTTCCAACCTTCGATAGAAGATAGAACTTAAAGAAGAAGAATTACTTTAACCCTTTCGCTACGGGCCAAGTATCCGTTGCGTGTGGCTCATATACGGCGCCGGAAAAATTTTGCACTTCGCGACCAAGACGGCCACTCAGTAGTTTACATTCTTTCTATTAAAGTGGTTAAATCTTTTTCGTTTGTCGGCAGTTTGTTTATATTTGTTTTATCGAAATAGTGGATTTTTTTTTCGTAAAACTTCAAAAAAACGGTATTCAGAAAGTACGGCGCTAGGGTGGGTGATGTGCTGCCGTGTATGTACGGCATCAGTATGGTGTATTTGCGGATCGTAACGTACATGAACGATACTAGTAAGCAAGATGGACAATGTAGAACGTACTATTACGATTATAGCTCTCCAAAGATGTAAATACTTAAAAAAGTACGGTAACAGAACCTGAGCGATGGAGAATAATTTGCGTAATAATACGGCGCTCGCTCACCAAAGCTGCAAATGAAAATCGTACTTTTACGGCAACAGTATCGAAAGTGTTAAACATTAACATCTTTGTTGAATTAACACAAAACCAATCTGTTATTTCAGTGAAACCATCCAGATCAAACGTCTCTCCGAATTCAAGTTTGATATTTATTTTTATAATAATATTCTTATTAGTTTTGACTAATCAAGAAAGCGTTTCCGAATATTTATCTAGAGTTTCCTACAAAAAACATTTAAAATACAAATATACTAAGACGGCGCCCCTTATATCCCAAGATGGCGCCGACTGGTGAGCAGCGTTTAAATGTGCTCTCTCTAGTTAGTGACGAAAATTTCCTAGAGAAGCAATTTAAGTGCTGTCAAAGTAAAGCTACTAAAATCTTAGTTTGTGTACAGTGTGGAAATGTTTTTCATTTGTCATGTGCAACCAGAAGTAAGCTTCAATGCATCAAAATTTGTGACACACGAATAATTTGCTGTGAAACAAACGAGAAATCAAATGATGTTGAGGAGAATTTCCAAGGTAAACGCGATCTATACAAAGAAAATGAGCTACTTAAAAATATTATAAAAGAAAAAGAGGAAAAATTTAATTTACTACTAGAAAATAATTCTCTTTTAAAACAAAACAATCGTTATTTACAAGAAAAGATAAGCCAAATGGAAGCAAAAACTGAACCAGTTAAACAACCAGTTTTAAATGAGTCAAACAAAAAACACCTTAGTCATATCAAACAATTACCTCCAAATTATAAAACTACAAATAAATTCCAATCACCGGTGTTGCCAACTGTTGCCGAAAGTAGTAGAAGTCCTGATAATAATTCAACAACTGCAGAACTTAGTAATGTGCAGCTAAATAAAATGCAAACTTTAGTAAATATAAATGAAGATATGGGACAAGACAATGATGGTTTTACGTTAGTCCACTCAAAGAAGACAACTAGACGAACAAAAAAGAACTACGGTGAAAATGATAAAACTACCGACTTAGGAGTTCAAAGAAAGGCTTGGCTTTACCTTTCTAGAGTTAAACGAAGTGTCACAACAGAAACTATCTTCGATTATCTAAAAGATCAGGAAGTGTTTAAAGACGCTGATATTATCATTAGAGAACTACCAACTAACGAAAACCAAAACAAATGTTTTATGTGTGGTGTCAACTTCGAATTAAAAGACGAAATATATAAACCGTCGACTTGGCCAAGATCTGTCGCTTACAAGCGTTTCGATTTCCGGAAATACCAACAATATAATCGTCGCTCCGAGGATTTTTAAATAATTTGTTCGTTAGGGACTCTCAAACCCAAAGTAAATGTCAAACTTCCATAGTTCATCAAAATATCCGAAGTCGAAATATTAATGCAAGTAAACCGACAAACTTATATTTCCCTATTTTACACTGCAATATACAGGGAGGACTTGCACGTAAATCTTATGATATAAATTTGATACTTCAAAGTAATAATGTGAATGTTTTATGCCTTAGTGAACACTGGTTGAAAGAAGATAAACTTAAAGTAACCAATATTGAAAACTTTAAATTAGTGTCTTATTTCGCAAGAAATGATAAAGAAAGTGGAGGTGTATGCATATTTGTAAATAATAAGTTTAGTTGTGAACAGCTAAATTTACGTCAATGGTGTATTGAAAGCAAAGTTGAAATATGTGGAGTAAAATTTAAAGTTCATGGAAGTAAAAAATATTTATATATTGTAACTATATACAGACCTCCTTATAGTGTGAATTTTAATACTTTTATTACGAAGTTAGAACTATTGTTGCAGAGTATTTATAACAATAATGATTTTTACGTTATATGTGGAGATTTTAATATCAATTTTTTAGAAAATAGCAATCAGAAAAATATTTTAATAAACTTATTTTTAGAATACAACATTAAATTTCACATAAATGTACCTACTAGAATTACTAAAAATTCTTCAACGTGTATTGACAACTTTTTTTCCAATTTAGATGTTCAAAAGGTAAGTGTATGTGACACATTTCTATCAGATCATACTTATCAATTATGTGCTTTTGATATGAAAGTTGCTGGAAAAAATCCTCAAACTGTTTTTACCAGAAACTTTTGCGATGCCAACTTAATAACGTTTCAAAATATTTTAGCTAATATTGATTGGAGTGATCTATATGTGGCTAGTAGTTTTGAAGAAAAATTTTCAATATTTTATGATACTTTCTTATATTATTATAATATTACTTTCTTAAAGCGTAGAGTAACTACCAGACCAAAACAAAAAACGTGGTTTGCACCTCATATTAAGGGTTTGCATGATCAATTGTGTCAGATGAATGTATTAAGAAAACAACTCAATAACCCAGAGTATTCGGAACGATACAAGAAATTTAAACAAGAATATCAAACAATTGTTAAAAAACATAAAAATGAACAATATGATAATCAATTTAGAAATAGCAATAATGTAATGAAAGAAAGTTGGAAAATAATTAATAAAAATAGAGGTAAAAACTGTCAATCAAATCAAAATTTAATATCTTTTAGTAACAACGGTGACTTACAAAATTATCATAAAGCTGATCAAATCAACAATTATTTTATTAATGCTGTAAAAAATAATGAACTATCAGTTGTAAACCGTACTACACAAATTGACCAATTCAATTCAAGTTTCTTTTTATCACCAACCACTGAAAAAGAAGTTATATCTATTGTATTAAAAACTGCTTCTAAAACAGCTGCAGGGGTAGACGAAATTGATGGAAAAGCTTTGAAACATGTTGCCACTTATATAGCTTTACCACTATCTTATCTCATAAATGAATCATTTACATGCGGAATATTTCCAGATATAAAGGAATCGAAAGGAATCCCTATTTTTAAAAATAAAGGATCTGCAACGGATATTGCAAACTATAGGCTGATTTGTGTGTCAAGTCAGTTCTCTAAAATATTTGAAGCAGCCTATGCAAATAGATTAACAGATTATTTAGAACATTTTAAAATTCTTCCTGCTATTCAAAACGGGTTTAGAAAAAAGAAATCTACAAATACTGCTATTTCTGACTGTCTTCAATTTATTTATAAAGCATTAAATGATAAATTAAATGTGTTGGGTCTTTTTTATGACCTTAGTCGTGCATTTGATACAGTTGATCGTGAACTCTTACTACAAAAATTGCAGGGTATTGGAATACGTGGTATACCGTACAATTGGGCCCTATCTTATCTAAGCAATAGAACTCAAGTAGTCACAGTGGAAAATGTAACGTCCAGGCCACTTCAATGTACGATGGGTGTACCTCAAGGCTCAATACTTGGGCCTTTATTTTTCATTATATTTGTAAGTGACCTAAACACGTTTTGTTCAATGCCAGATAAAATTGTTCAGTATGCTGATGATACAAATATTCTCATGTCTCACAGTGAACCCATACAACTGGTGGAAAATACCAATGTTGTGTCTGCTGAATTTAGCACATATTGTAAAAATAATGGACTCAAGCTCAATGTAACAAAAACACATTTTATGCGTTTCTTACCAAAAAACTTAACTCCAAATTCTGACTTTTATTTACATGTGGATGGCAAATCAATAAAAAGTTATACTACAACGAAATTTTTGGGGGTAACCCTAGATCATAAACTTACATGGGAAACTCATGTAAATCATGTATCAGCAAAGTTAAGTACATCTAGCTACATAATCCGTAATTTAAGAGAAACTGTCTCATTTGATATATTGCGAATGATTTACTTTAGTTTAGTCCAGTCTGTACTTCAGTATGGCTTAATATTTTGGGGTTGCTCAGCTCATTTTGAACGGGCATTTATAGCTCAAAAGAAAGTTTTAAGAAGTATATATGGTGTTCCATTTTCAGATAGTTGCAAGCCACTATTTAAGAAGGCTAATATTTTAACACTACCTAGCCTTTTAATTTTCCAATTAATATTGCACATTGAGGAAAACAAGCTCAAGTTTGTCAGAAATGAGGACATTCACTCACATGATACCAGGGGTAAATCAAATTTTCGACAACCTTTCTCTAGATTAGATGTATCCCAACATGCACCTGAATATATTGGAATAAAATGTTACAATAAAATAGTCAATATATTAACTCTCAGTAATTCTTCACATAAAGGTTTTCGCCAAACTGTGTATTCATTTTTAATGGACAACACATTCTACAGTGTTGATGAATTTTTAAATTTTTAACATTTTTGCAACAATAGTTCTAAATTTGTATTTGTAACTTGTATTTGTAACTTTTATTTCTTATTTATTTTATTGTAATAACTGTTTTTATTTTAATCATGTACTTTTGCTATCTATTGTACTCTTTTGTACCAAAATTTTGACTAGTCTGATAAGATTTATACATTTTTTTTTCTTGTAAAAATTGTGTAAACTTAGTGGATGAATAAATTCTATCTATCTATCTATCTACTTACAGATCCATCAGCTAAAGCCTTCTGGACTACAGGGATGTCGTTACTTGGTACCCAACATTCGCCTATTAAACATTTCTTGGTGACATCCATGTTGAAGAAGTTCAAAGTGTGGTATATAGCCTTCATTTTGCTCACCATTATACTCCAGTTTTGTAATTCCTTGGCTACGCTGACCAGCACTCGTTGACGATGATCTCTGGTTTGATTTAGCACCTGTAACATTGTTTACGTAAATTTTTCGTACCAAATAAGAAAAAATTGTGATAAAGATAAAAACACTAGCGTGAAGCTTCATACTATGTTTTCTCTACATATACTATACTATATAAAGACTGAACAAGTCTATATGTACCAGTAAATGGCATGCCAATAAATTTGCTGGTACAGACTGGCTGTAGAATTTTAAAAACAAGCATCAAAATGTGGCATTGAGGAAACCAGAAAACACCAGCTTTAGCTGAGCTACCAGTTTTACAAAAGAAAATGTTGGGGCATTTTTTGACAATTATGAACGTGCTCTTTTAACACACGATTTCACAACTGACAGGATGTATAACAGACGAAACTGGTATCAGAACTGTCCTTCAAGCTCCAAACATTGCAACGCAAAAGGGAATTAAACAAGTTGGGCAGATAGTTTTAACATCCTGATCACTATATGTGGGATAATTAAGGCATTAGGGAATGCTGTGCCTCAGATGTACATATTTCCAAGAGCCCGTTTTCATGATAAAATGTTGAATGGAGCTCCCTTGGGAAGTCTGGGTTTGGCTAATTTGCCAAGTTCTGGATGGATGACCAAGGAACTGTTTCTCAAGGTTTTTAATCACATTAAACGTTTTGCACAGTGTTGTTCTAACTCCCCAATTTTAATATTGATGGACAATCACGAAACTCATTGTTCTCTTGAATCTATAATGCTTGGACGTGGAAATGATATAGTATTATGTAGTTACTTTTCCAACACACACCTCACATCGCCTTCAACCGCTAGATGTAGCAGTATATTCGTCGTTTAAATCAAAACTTGCCATTGCTATAAACGAATGGATGATAATGCATTCTGCTTGAGCAATTACATACCATACATGACTTAGCAGCTATTACAAACACTGCATACACTTCTTCATTTATCATGAAGAATATAGTTAAAGGTTTTAGAAAAACGGGCACTTGGCCCCTAAACCGTCTTGTATTTTTGAATGACGATTTTGACTGTGCTTTTGTTACTGACCGGCCACCATCAGAAAATAATGTAAATAACTCAACAGAAGCTGTTCTATCTACATCAACCCCAATAACACCTAAAATTGTACGACCTTTTCCAAAGGCTGCCCTAAGAAAAAATATTAGAGCACGAAAAAAGGTTAAATCTAGGATTTAAGTAGAATTTTAGAAAAACCAGAAAAAAACAAAACTGAAGAAGAAACTCTAGCAAGAGAACCAAACTAACAGAAGTTGCAAGCAAATAAGATGAAAAGAAACATTTGGAAGACTACTCTTACTACAAGAAGAATTTGGAGTTACCACAGAGTGAAACTTCGGAATCCGATGAAGACATCATTTATGCCAGTTCAGATCATTCGGAGGACTTCGCAGAAATTGGTAAATATGAACATAATGACTATATTTTAGTGAAGTTTGTTACAAAAAAGATGTGTATTATGTGGGTCAGATGACTGAAATATTTGCTGTGGATTCAGAGTTTGAAGTTAAATTTTCGAAAAGAATTTATGGTAAAGGGACAAGTTCAAATTTTCACTTTCCAGAAACGGAGGATATTTCGATAGTTCAGATTGAAGATGTAGTTTTAAAATTACATTCTATAAACAATTCAAATTATAACACTTGCAGAACGCAATGATTTATTTCTTTTTCAAATTTGATGGATAATGTCAATGTAAATTAAAAATTAATAGTTTTTTGTTTGAATGTCTATACCTTAGGCTATGATACTATGAATAACAAGATAGGATCTTCCCGTAGCTCAAAATCGGTCGGGTTGGCGCATGCCGTCATTGGAGACTAGAATTTGAATTCTTGTTAAAGTTAAATGAGATTTGTATGCATTCTGTGATGAAATTACTAGACGAAAATAAGTTAAGAGGTTTAATAATTACAATAATCGTACACATAAGGATATCTCCAAACTATTTATTAAAGATTATTTATTGATATATACACAAACTGACATTTCGAACGTGCAAGTCTCCAATGACGTCACAAAAACATGCGCGATATCTTATCTTATAGTCATAGTATCATGCCTTAGGCACTTAGGTACTTATTGTGTTTTTTCACGTTAGTATATTTTATTGTGTCCTTTCTATAATAATAAAGTGTATTTTTTGGTTTGATTTCAAAGTATTTTTAGGTCATTCAAATGTGCCTCTTCTTAGTTCAAAGCTACTCCTATTAGGGGCACTTTTGAACATTTTTCTTATATGTAAAGTTAATTTTTTTGTATATTCAGGTAATTTCTTGATAAGTTTGATAGACAATATTATATTATTAGATGTGCTAATGTTGTTTGCGATACCTAAAGTAAATAATTTTAGGCAAAGTACGTCATAATACACTTTTAGAAGTGCCCCCTTCTCCCCTATACTTCAATTAATAGTATTGTAGGTCCAATTATTATTTTCCAATTTTCAAATAAAAATATTCATTACATCCTAAATTATAGGCTGTTAAAACATTTTGGAACCCCCTATATAATGACAGTTGTCAACTATTGAGAACTACATTATAGCAATAATTTATATATAAAAAATTGCTCATTGATCATATTGATTGATCAAATTATAATGTTCGTAACCATCTTCTTGGTGTTTATTAAAAAACAAATTAAAATTTCAAGAAAGTTATTCTAAGAATTTAAAAACATGTAAAAAATTTAGTGGTCTAGTCTAAATAGATATATACTTTTTATTTGTTTTGTATTATAACTTAACAAAAAATGATTACAATAATATTCAAACCACTAATTACGCGTTCCAAATTACATATTAACCAAACTTTATGTAGATAATACAATAATAACTTTAGTTTTATATATCATGCGCAAATAACGTTAAAGCAGTAATTACCACGTTGTTTGTTGGATTATTTGAAAGGTTGGACGTTAGGAATATTATTATTAGAAATAGAAGTAAATCCGCCAGTGTATGATAACAGACATGTTTATTTGATTTTCTGGCAGAATTTGTTTAACGGTAAGCTCCAGGTATTGTAAACAGATAAAAATAGTATTGTAATGTAAATTGTTTAACCAATAAATTTCAATAAGTAATATATAACATTACGTAACAATACTAGGACTGGTTGAATTTTTCGCTGAACCAAAATGAAGAAAATATGTTTGTGGTTCCAACAAATGAATTTTTTCTTAAAGAGATTCTTCTTGATTTATTTGATGTTATAGGCGCATCTTAAGAAATTTATGAGTGGACTGGGTGAATAATAATGAGATTATACATAAAATGGGAAAGAATGTGAGATTACTATTTAAAATTCTTCATCTTCTTTTTATGTAGACATGAACTCTGTCTGTTTTTTAATGTGCCTCCAGTAAGTTGTTTTGTGACCTTCCTACTGATCGTCGTTCTATTGGTGAACCGTCTTGTAATATTGTTGGTGTTCCGAATTAAGTTATTTTAAAGAAATGTAAGAATATTTTTTAAAAGATTGAATTAATGAAGATCTTACCAGCAAGAACAACCCCCAAAAATGATGATATGCTTAAAATGATGTATACCCAACTTTGGGGATGTTCCTTACTACAGTACTTTTTTTTGTCACCTTCATTTCTAGTTAATTGTGTTTTACGGGCATGCAAATAATCCGAATCCTTTCTTGAGTGTCAATTTTTCACTGTCCAGTATAGCCTGCTGGCCAAGACTCATTAAGTCTCACATATATTGTGTTGAAAGCATACCTCATATTCTAATTACATTTTCTTCTAATTTTGCTACACTGGCCACCATATCAGCAGCCACTTTTATAATTTTTGTTGCAGAAGAAAAAAAAAATTGGTCAGAAGAGGTTAAAACTGATGTAACAAAACTATAGTTTATTTTTATGAACGAGAGAGTAATTAGCATAATTTTAACTGGTACCTCCGACCACTCCATGGGCGTGCTCAAGATTAATTGAAAAATTACTTTGAATAATTGTAAAAAATAAATGAATTATTTCAGTGTTATAAAGTGTTATGTGTATGTAAACAAAAGTGACCTCTTTTATCACACACTATATTAGAACTGACTGGCCTACATTAAAAAGGGTTTTAAAAAATTCACATTTTTTTTAATTTTTAAAAATTACAAAAGAGAAAAAGAGTTTTTAAAACCGTCTAAGGTATGTTAAATAGATGAATAAAAATATTAATATAAAACTTACAGCTACTTGTTACAAATCCAAATCAGATTCAGAAGATGAACTTTCAGAACCAAGATTTATAATAACTGGCTCGATCATTTTATCAGTAATATTGTCCAGCTTCCACATTTTTTCCTCTTCTTTAATAGTGTGATTTACTGCCTTTTCCCAGTTTTCAGGTTTTACATTATTTACGGCCTCCAAAAACAACTGTTTAACATCATGAATTTTAAAAGTGGTATTTTTTCTTGAAACTTCACTCTTTATCTGTGCCCATACCAGTTCAATCGGGTTTAATTCACAATGATATGGTGGGGATCTAAGTACTGTCATTCCACGATTTTTGGCAATTTCATCAATTTCGTATTTTTTAAATTTTTCTTTATGAAGGGCACACAACGAATAAAGTTCCTTTCTTATAGATCCGGGATGGTACGTAATATTTTTTGAACTCAGCCAATTCTGCAAGTCTTTTTTTAACCACTTGGTTGTGGGCAGTCCTTCTATAAGTCTGGAGTGATAACTTGCATTATCCATTACTATTACACAGTTCTTAGGAAGAAGATCTATCATTTGTTCGAACCATTCTTGAAAGACATCAGCGTTCATGTCTTCATGGTAGTCACCGGTACGAGTTGATTCAAAAGTTAATAAACCACCTTCAACAAAACCGTCTGAACTGCCAATGTGTACTATTATCAGCCTGCGTCCCTTTCCTGATGGTGGGTTTAAACCAGTAGATAAGTTATTTACAAAAGCGTGCCTTTGACTTGTAACAGTTTCATCCTGCCAAAATTTATTTGGTGTATGACCCTCGTTGATCCATGTTTCATCAAGATAAAATATTTTTCTTTTTTGGTTTCTCATTTCCTTTATGGTTCTTAGAAAATGTCTTCTCCATATGACAATATCGCTTCTTTCTAATAAAATAGACTTTCTGGGATTCTTTTTCCAGCGGAAGCCTATTTCTTTTAAAAGTTTCCATAACGTACTTCGACTCATTTCTGGGTAATCCTTATCATCTCGAACTGAGACAAGAACTTTATCCAATGTTGGAAATTCTTGTCTAAAGAAGAATTCATGCACTTTCCGTCGAAGTCCTTCTTTAAAATGATATTCTATTTGAAATTTTGGTTTCCCTGGAGCATTACGTGGCATTTGAAAACTACCACATTTCTCTTCTTTAATAACTCTGTAAATCGTAGATTTCCCAACACCAAGTGTACTGCTAACTAACTCAACGGTCTCATCAACACTTTCACATAAACGTTTGTCTGTAAATGATTTAAAACAATTAAATATTAATGTTTTTTCATTAACTGTTAAAGGACCAATTTTTCGGCGTTTACACGGCACTTCCAAATTTTCCATAACACTAGTATACACAATAAACTGCACCTTGCAACTGAAGTACCTACTTTTAGTGAACTGTTAAGAATTTTGAATACGCCACTTGGACCTTCCTACAAAATGGAAAAACCCACTATCACATTTTCTGTGGAATAAGTTTAGAAGGTAATTATCTAGTCAATTACTGTCGTAGATTCCTGGAATTAAAGAATTAAATGTTTGATTGTTGAAACCCTTACTTCGTGGAATGCACTCATTTCAGATAAAATAAAACGTTTTATTTTATCTAAAGAATTAAACTTTATTTTGCAAATAGGTAGGTACTTATTAAACTTTTATTGGTTATATATAACCAATAAAATAAACATCTTACATTTCTTGCAAATTCATTAGTACCTGTTAACCTCCATCACTCCGACACTGGCAACCTTATTTAGGGATTAGTAACCCTCACAACTATTGTATTCTATTCTGCTCCAACCTTTATACCTGGTGGTCATACTCAATTTAAAATTGTTTTCCTATATACTTCTGTAAACTTGTTGACAAATATCTGTTTTTCATTGAGTCACCCGTATCAACAGTTTAGGGATTTGCATACATAATTTATTGTTTTATTACTCTCTCATACATAAAAATACACTATAATAATACCGGATTGGAAGGAAAAGACGAAAAACGTAGTTTTTTTTTATCTTAGGTAACTTTATTCCTCATTTCCCATTCTCATGATTATTTACTATGAACTTACTGTCTTAATTAAGAAAAAAATCGTTACTCACCAAGTTAAGATCCTCAAGACGAGTACGAACTCCTTTAAGCATATCATTTCTTTCAGTGATCGTGTTTGGACAAGGGTAGAGCGAAGCGTGAAAGCCAGCACACACTTTCTTGATCCTTGTTTTTAATTGTTCTCCTTGAAAGAATGCTGCAAAGACGGTCTTATGGTATGCGATTCCCTATAAATAATAAATTGTTTACGTATTTAGTTTGATCACAACGGTGATTATTTTTTATCAATTAATCAAAGACAAATCATGAATGTGTTGCTTGTGTGAGTCCATTTCAAATAGGTAAAGAAATAATAAATAAGACTTACTCACAATCAATTTAATTTAACTATCAGACGACCGGTTTCGCTTTCTACAATATGCAAAGCATCCTCAGGTCTCGATACAAAGTTAAACAAATGCTGAAATAATAAAAACCCATATTAGGGTGTTGTCTAATAACGATAAACAAAGTAGGTGTTGTAAATTACAATAATTATGCCAATATTACATGTCTGTGGTTTTATTTAAATGAGTAAGTTGAATAAAAGGTATAAAATTTTTAAAAAGTTAAACAGACAAGGTAAGGCCCACAAATTGTTATAAAATAGTCTCTTCGATTGTAATAAATTAATAAATGAGCAAATAAATAAATAAAATAAACATTACTTACATGCCGGTACTCTATTAATAGATGGATGGTAGAACATGGTTGAAACTACTTTATATTGTTGAATGGAGAACTCAATTCTATCATTGCAGTTGTTTGACAGTAAACGGGAAGTTCTTGAGGAGATAGATTTGATCCAATGAATTGAGATATGTGTGAGATTGTTTGTTAAATGTAAGTGATGTAATATACTATTGTTGTTATTAAAGGCTATTTATAGTTATTCCAGAGATATATTTTTGAAATGTGTGTTATTTATTGAGTGATTGTTTTTTTGAAGGTGACAGTTTTATGACAATGAATTCGCTCCGTGGGTCTCCCCTCTATTTACAGTCACGTGACACGCTGTCAGATTTGTGAGGACGTTTTAGTATTGAGTCTTATGGGATTATTTTGTTAAACTTAAATATTTTATTTTGTGGTGTTAACATCCGGATACAATTTTTAGAATTAATTAGTTATTCATTTATAGTGACATTTATAGTTCAACAAAAATATTTTTTGTCGTTAATAAAGATTTATTAACATAATCTGCGAAAGTGAGGTTATATATACATGATCAACCAATGATCAACATCCATGGTACAATGAATATGTTCATTGTACCATTCACAAAAGCGTCCTGATAAAATTTCAAACAATCGCCACCATGAGCAGGTCAGTCGATTTTGCTTTGACACTTTCTTAACCCTCGGAGCGAATAGGTGTAGATGTAAAGATTGTGTGGGTGTGCACCTATTCATTGTCATAAAACTGTCACCTTCAAAAAAACAATTACTCAATAAATAACACACATTTCAAAAATATATCTCTGGAATAAGTATAAATAGCCTTTAATAACACAATAGTATATTACATCACTTACATTTAACAAACAATCTCACACATATCTCTAATTCATTGGATCAAATCTATCTCCTCAAGAACTTCCCGTTTACTGTCAAACAACTGCAGTGATAGAATTGAGTTCTCCATTCAACAATATAAAGTAGTTTCAACCATGTTCTACCATCCATCTATTAATAGAGTACCGGCATGTAAGTAATGTTTATTTTATTTATTTATTTGCTCATTTATTAATTTATTACAATCGAAGAGACTATTTTATAACAATTTGTGGGCCTTACCTTGTCTGTTTAACTTTTTAAAAATTTTATACCTTTTATTCAACTTACTCATTTAAATAAAACCACAGACATGTAATATTGGCATAATTATTGTAATTTACAACATCTACTTTGTTTATCGTTATTAGACAACACCCTAATATGGGTTTTTATTATTTCAGCATTTGTTTAACTTTGTATCGAGACCTGAGGATGCTTTGCATATTGTAGAAAGCGAAACCGGTCGTCTGATAGTTAAATTAAATTGATTGTGAGTAAGTCTTATTTATTATTTCTTTACCTATTTATAATCAAAGACACTTTAGGAGTTCTTATTCTCAGGAGACTATATTCCTGAGACTTTCCTGTATTATGTGGTACATTTAATGGAAATAAAATTTCAATTAAAATTGTGGCTAATTCCCACTAAATTAAATAGATTACACTTTAGGAGTGTTTAATGACAGTAGAGTCAATATTTAGTACAATAAGTACTTGAAAATTGATATAACCTTCAAGTTGCTATTTCGATTTACTCACCGTTGCGGGATCTTCCATGGGTGTCTCGATTTCAGCTTGCCTCAGAAAAACATTTCCTCTAGAAATACGCCATAACATTCTCTCAAAGGCAGGAACTCTTTCTCTATTGATTACTCCAGCTACGAAGCCTAGACGGCCTCTAATGGAAGCATTGTGATCTTCAGCAGGTATAAGTGATTTGTGGACTGAGTCCGAGAGTCCATTGGCTTCGTCTTGCTCGTTGAAAAACGCCTGTGTCTTTTCCAGAACGTGTTTGAGCTCGGTCAGTTCCAGGTAGTTGGACTTGAGGTTGACTGCGCTTTCTGAAAGCTCTTTGATATCACCTTCGGTTTTTTCGAGGTGAGCCTTAAAAAAGATTTAAATTTTTAGTGATATAAGAACTATATTGTAAGGAAGTAGCTTATAAGGGAATAAATTAAATGGAAGTAGAAATAGAAGATGGTGCGGTTTTAAAGATATTAAAAGAGGAGATTAAACTGGCATTAAAAACAGCAAAAATGGCAAAGCAGTAGGTCCAGTAAAAATTTCAGTAGAAAGCTTTTAATGCCGAAATAATGAAACGTTAGACATTTTAGTAGACTTGTTTGATGTTCAAGGATTCTTCTCTATTCTGACCTGTTTCGTGCTTTTTTTTCCAGTTTTTAATTTTTAATGTTGTTATATCATTTTCTATTTGTTCTACGTATCTCAGCTTCGGTCTTCCTCTTGTTCTTTTTCCTACTGGCACTTGTTTGAATATTTTGTTTGGTATTTCGCCTTCTTCCATTCTTTCCACATGTCCAATCCAACGTAGCCTTCCTATTTTAATGAATGTTATGATATCCGGATCCTGGTATATGTTGTATAGTTCAAAGTTATACCTTCTCCGAAAAATCCCGTTTTCTTTTGTGCCCTTATATATGTGTCGCAAGATTTTTCTTTCAAAGGTGGCTAACAACGTTTCCTCCCTTTTAGAGAGTGTCCAGGTTTCTGAACCGTATGTGAGTGTTTGATACAATATACAAAACAGGACATATACCGAAACAATGGTTACTCTACACGTTTTCCGCTATCCCTAAAAATACAAACGCTAAAAACTGAGATGAATACAGAACAACATCATTCATAAGTCATATTCTCAAATTATTCTTGAAAAGAATACATGGTCGTATACCTAAATAACTGGAAGAAGGAATAGATGATAGTCAGTTTGGATTCAGAAACGGACAAGGAACCAGAAAGGCATTATTTGCTTCTAATATATAGAAATACCTGGAGAAAATGAGTGCTTCAAAACACCTAGTCACATTACATTACAGGAAACATTAATGTGACACCTAGTCACATTATTGTATGTAGAAAACTCAGCAAAAGTGAGTACATAGACAACTGTCAAAATCGTTTAGGTTTAGTAAGGGCGTAAGACAAGGCTGCGTGGTAAGCCTCATCCTGTTTAACATCTATGGAGTAGTCATTATGTTCGAATCAATCTCAGAATGTGAAGGTGGCATATGCATTGGCGTCAGAAGAATTAACAACTTAACGCAGATGACACAACGCTTTTCGTCGAATTCTTGGAAGAATTGACGGTGCTGTTAGAGCAAGTAGAGTTTTGAAGCAGGACTGTCTATCGATAAATCAAAAACAAAAATTATGATCATAGATAGAAGAAATACCAACCAGATAAAAATTGTTAAGATAAATGACATCGAAGTGGTGAATCTCTGGAGGATGCACCCAAGAAATCAAAGCTGATCAAAATATGGAAAATTTACAACCGTATCTACAAAGATGAGTCTTGTAAAAATAACGGTCTTCTCCAGTTGTCTAATGCTGGACCTGGTAGGACGTTGATAAACGTAATATAAGAGCCATTCGATTATATAGACGCATTCGATATGTTTTTCTGACGACGAATGTTGCGAACACCCTGGACCGCAAGAAGAACCAATCAGTCGATCCTTAGACAGCCGTACGTTACAAAAAGGCTTCGAAACATTGTTACATTACAACAGAAGTTGGAGTCCCACTAAACCATTGCTTTAAACTTGCAGAACACAGAGAAAGATGGAAACAAATCATGTAAGAAACAAATATTGTATTATCAAGTTAAGTCATCAATATAATGTAAAAAAATACTAAATGGATCTATTAGATCAAAAGATTAACAATATTCTTCTGTTATTATCGGTTTCTAGTTTTAGCCGTTCAGATTTCAATGTCATGTATCAGGTACTTTTCTACTCACTTATCCCTATTTTTGATTTCCTTTGACTCCGACGTTTTTTTAACGAGTTTCTTTGCTATTATTACTACAGTTATCCTTTCTAAATACCCACTCCAATGGTTAGTTTGTTTGTCGAAAGATATATTTATTATCTATAATGAAACGTACCATAAATCTAGAGTTTCCAAGATATATCGTTAATTTTACTTTCCGTCGTAAAATGTGTAAGTTTTTAATATCATCCGAGAACTTCGACTTATTTTAATCCCTTTTTATCTATATTAAAGTCAATTTCCTGTCATGTAACATCCTCAAATATTGACTCTAAAAATGCTACATAAAATCATATCTTTCATAAATAATCCACAAACATTTAATAGCCTCATAAACATTTTGATAGCTGGTTATACGCTACAATTCTATGTATTATGCATATTTAATGATTTAAATACGTTTCAATGAATTGAAATGTTAACTACAGAGTTGAATGTTTCTTTTTGGTTTGATGTATGCAGACATTTTTAAGTTTTGGTCAACAATCAATGGAAAATATTATAGATGTCTGTGTGTCAATAATTCTCAATATGATAACTTTGTGGTAGCGTAAAGTGGCTTTGTAGACATATCCGACTGTGCGTGACCTTCTCACGCTATATCTTATCAAATGGTTTGATAGCAAGCGAACAATTTAATTGAACCCAGCCTAAGAGACTAAGAACTGATTGGGACGATTGGGGCGAGGAGGATTATTTCGTGTAAATAGGAATCACTCCACCGCGTTCCAGTGTTCCAGACCATCCCTTTTTCCTTTATAGCACTCTGATGCACAATTTGGGCTTTTTATCAGCAAATTGCTTGCCATTTGGAAGTTTGTACAAGACTTTCAACACGTTGTGTAACCCCGATCAAAGTAGGTTAGCATTAGGTGCTCTTTTGATGCTACCTCTAGTGACTAAGGAACCAGCTCCCCAGGAGGTGGACCCTTATCGCCTTTTTTCAGTTTTGTTAATGTTTTTGGTAGCTTTCGCCTTTTTGTTAGTAATTTTTGTAATTTTTTTGGGTCCGAAGACGATTTTCTTGGGTTTTTTGTATATATATTTTTGAGGGCTGTCTGAAACATAAACATCAATTTAATAAATTGCCAGTGCCTTGAACACCGCGTTGTCTGTTGTTGATAGAGCTACGATTATCTAGACTTTTTATATGTTGGCCAATATTTGCTATTTTGGTCTTCTCTGCTTTTATCGATGGATCACATCATACCTTAGTATCTCTCGCATTTTAGGGCTTGAGTGGTTCTCTAGCTCAGCAAATTTTAATCTGGCTTTTTCTTCCATTGTGTCTATCACCCCTGTTTGATTCAGTTCTCTGACAGGAATCGTTTAGCTACGTATATGGGTACAATTGCTGCTTCTCTGAGGCTGTAATTGTGAGCTGTTTTTGTCTTCTTTTTATTGCTGTTACTTATGTGTCCCCATGCGAGAGATGCATATGTAAATTGTTGGTAAAATTATGTTATTTATCAATCTCATTTTTGTTTTCATGCTAAGTTTACTTCTTCTACCTGTGAGTTGTCTTATTAAAGCTCTGACCATTTTTATTTTTTGGATTGTTGCATCTACATAGGACGTAAATGTCAATACTGGTCTAATGTGGTTGTTTTGTCCTGTTACTTGTTCTTTGGTTGTCGTCTGACATAAAATCTGAGTAGCGTTTTTCGTGTTTTTAGAATATAGGCGGTGTAAATTATATATAATAGGAGTGTCAGGACCGCCCTTGTGGTACTTCGGCCTCCAGACTTATCCTATCAGGACCCTGAAGCTTCGGTTGCCCAAATACGAAGAGATCAGTCTTGTCATCAGTCTTTATGTCACATTATATCAAGGGCTTTGCTTAAACCAGGAAAATAAATCTTGTGTACTGCTTGTTATTGAATACAGCTGTTATGTACTTTGTTAGTCTGAATACTTGTAGTTCACTGAAGTGTTCTAATCTAATTAAAACTGTACTTCTGGGATTAATCCAAGCCTGCCTGTTTCTGATTGGAATCTGCTTAGTATGACTCTTCTACTCTTTTGATGACTGCTAGAAGTAAGTTAATCGGCCTATAATTCTGCAGGAACTTTCTCTGGTTTCAGGATCATGATGACATCGAATGCAATTGTTAGCTTGAAATACAATTACTCTCGCTGGTAGATACTTCAGAGCTGTTTGTCTATGAAGTCTACGTCTTCGTCTTGGCGATAGTTTAGTCTACACTCTCTCGTAAGAGTCTCCCTCATCACCTTGGCTTTTTCTTCTATGGAGTAGACAATTCTATTCTCTCCATGTAGTGGGGGAATGGGATTTTTGTCATTTCGTAATATTCTTTGGAGTTTCCAAATATTTTGCATATTTGGACTCTGTTCCTTAATTTATTGTACGTAGTTGTTCCACCTTTTGCTTTTCTGTTCTGCCAGTGCCATTTGACTTCTCTGTTAAGCCGGTTTGCCCTGTTTTTGTCTTCCTGGTTCATTGTTCTTTTAGCTCTCTTTTTGGCTTTGTTATTTGCCCTTATCTTGTCTTTTATTTCCTTTTTTATACCTCTAAATGTTCCCATACGGTTTTCTAGTTCTTCTTCAGTAGTACTGTTTCTTCATGTTCCTTGGGCGATATTTTTAAACTCTAATACTCGTTCTTCTATTTCTTGTGGACTGTTGATCACTGGGATGTTGTTGATCCCATAATTCACAAGTCTTTTGCAGTTTGACTAGTTTGTTTTCTTTCTTTTCCTTGTAGTTGTATTGCTTTCTTCCCATGTGCCTATTTCTAGTAGTATGGAATTGTGGTCTCCTGATCCTTCGTTTAATGTTCGGATCTCTGTCTGTAGTCCTAGACTCTTAGTTACTACTAGGTCTAGATTTGTAGGTAGAGCATTATCATCATCATAATCATCCATCCTTCTGCGTCAAAAGTTGAACATAGGTTTTCCCTAATTTCTAACAGTTCTTTCGGTCTTGAGATTCCTACAGCCAATTCCCAAAGATTGTTTTGACGTCGTCTGTCCATCATGTACCTCTGCTTCTTCTGTAAGCTCGTGGTCTCCACACAGTAACTTTTTGGGTCCACCACCCGTCATTCATTCTTGCCACATTTCAGCCATGATAAAAATCTAAAACATCTGTGTTCTCTGTCCTTCTTATTTCTTCGTTTCTAACTCTGTCTCTGAGAGTCAGTCCAAGTAGCGAGCGTTCCATTCATCTTTGGGAGTTTGGTTGCTGTAGCGTGGGTCAAGGAAAGTATTTCGGCGTCGTAAGCCATAACTGGAAGCACACATTAGTCGAAAGTCTTCTTTTTAAAATAATTTGGCATGTTGCTCTTGAAGATGTCTGATCTCCAGCTAACTGTTCCTCAACTAAAACGCTTCGCACAGGCCTCCGATCGGTTGTAAAAAAGGGGATAAAAACGTCATTGCATTTAAAGCATTCTACATTATATATTACGGCGACTATACCATAAGAAAAAATTGAACAATTTACAAAATACTTACCTCTAAATCTATAATTTCACGTGGATTGGGTGCTTTTGGTAACTCACTAACATCGGGAATGTTAACGTCATCCTTCCTTACTTCTGCTTCAATATATCTTAATTTCCTTTCCATTTCATCGCATCTCCTCACTTCGTTGACGAACTTCCTTTGGAAAGCATTCACTTCTTCATTTAACTGCAAATAGTAATAATAATAATAAAACCAAAGTAAGTGAGTTTTAAATGTAACAATCATGAATCCACATTTATATTACTTACATCTCTAAACTGTACACATCCAGTTTCACCCAATTCGGAAATAGCGTAATACGAAGCCTCTGGTTGGACGAAAAGTTGGGCGAGGACCATTTCCTCACTTCTAAACATACTCCCCATCTTGAGGAGGTTTTATTTGACAGTCTACAACAAAAAAATGCTTTAATAAAGACACAAAACTTATCTAAATTTAGAAAAAAAAGTATAGTAAAAAGAAGAAATCCACATTTGAAAATCTTACGATGAAAGCAATTGCTGAACATTGTACTCTGGCTAATATTAGGAACTTACATGAATTATTACTCAGCACAATATTATACAAATAAACTATAAAATGTGCTAAAAATTATATTCTGTTTGATGTATCAATCAATTAATGTTTAAAAAAGATTTTTATTTATTTATTATCTATAAAATACAAATGTAAGTGTATTCAAATTTCAGTCAATCTTATCTCATTTTATTGTTATCTATAAAATTAAACTATAATTGATCATAAGACAATTATTTGAATTGTCTATGATAAACAATGAAGATTGCATACATAGTAAGGCTTTTATATAAATCTTTATCGATCAGAATTATTGATGAGTAATATTTATTAGTAAACGATTATACTATTTGTATTTAACGTTTAATATGAAAACAAATATTTTAAAGTGTTTCCATTTAAAAAGGAAAAGGCAGTTAAGATTTGATTTCCCGTATAGTGCATCTATGAACGGTAATATCAGAACGGCAATTCATAGTCGCTCTGAACGTGAAAATAAATCTCTTCTGTCTTAGAAAGCAACTCTCTAGTTGATGAGATATGTCGTGGAATGCAAATGTTAGATTCCTCATGTCTCTAATAACATCTTTATCAACGTCTGTTTTGCCTTGCAATTCTTAAAAGGCACAGATTAAAGCAACAATCTGAATTTGGTTTCGAAAATTAGTTTACGGATTGTTTCCATTTACTTAATTGATTGTTTCCTGTACAATAATCAACCGAACCAAAGCGAACCAACTCTAGCACAATACACTAAACTGCAGAGATTACGGTGGGCGCACGTGGTCCACATGCATGAGAATAGAATCTCCAGAAAATTACTAAATGCAAGAATGCAGGGAAAAAGACCTGTTGGAAGACTTAAAAAGAGATGGGAAGACGAAGTCGATGGGAAGGCAGCTCTTGCTGGAAATACGCGTTTCCGGGCTGGAACTGCCTGCTAACACGTTCATAGAAAGGAACAGCCGTAAATCGAAATGATTGGAGAAGCTTGTTCAAGGAGGCCAAGGCCTAATTTGGGCTGTAGTGGCATTGGATGGGATGGGGAACAATAATCAAGTGGTAGTAGTCACTAAAACTAAAGTTAATTCAAGGTTAGGCAACAAATTTTCTATTGTGTTTACAAAGCAGTTTTTTACATATAATAAATAATATTATATTATATATTATATGTAAAACATAATCTTCTAAATATATGTCTTCTATGGCTGGTGACGTTTCTAGCATCCTAATTTCCAACGTTTTCTGTCGAAGCAATAATCCGTTTTTAAATCTATGGCGGTCATTGTATCTTCGACATCTTCTGTCCAGGACCACCTTGGTCCTCCTCGTTTTCTTCTAGTGGGAAGAGTACATTTTTCTATCTTTTTTGGCCATCCATTTTCAGGTATTCAGGCATATTTCATCTTCTTCTTTGAGTACCGTGCCCAAGTTTCCATGACGATTTGCCGATATCGTTCTCGATCTTGCGCGGCATGTAATAATTCATCTGCTGATAAGCCAGTACATTGACGAAGGTTTCGGAGCCATGAGTATTTCTTCCTACCAATTCCTCTTTTTACGTCGATCTTTCCGTTGAGTATCAACTGCATTATCCTGTAACTGCTTCCTCTCATTAAATGCCCCAGATACTCGAGTTTTCTCTTTTTTATCATCTTTATTAAGTCTCTGTTCTTCTAACGGTAAAAGTTCTTTAAAGGTAAAACATGTCTTCAGGAAGCAGCAACAGAGGCTCTCGGACTCCAAGTAAAAAACCACAGAAAAACTTCGTATTGGTGGGACGAAGAAATAGAACAAGAGATTAAAAATAAAAGAGAGAAGTATAAAAAATTTCTGAACACAAGGACCGACGCTGATAAGGTAGAATACAAGAGGACCCAAGCTAAAGTGCGAAAAATGATATGCCAAAAGAAGAATGAGGCTTGGGAGCAAAAGTGTAACATGATTAACACACATTTAGGAGGACGGAGAAGTACAGAAAGTTGGAAAGTATTAAAATCGCTACGACAGGAAAAGAAAAGAGATATAATATCATCAATCACACCGGATCAATGGGACGAATATTTTAAAAAACTCCTAAATGAGGACAGAGCGGAATTTTTAAATAACAGTGATACCAGCAACGTAAATATCTTAGCCTCACCATTACGAATAACAACAAAAGAAGTAGAAGAAGTATGTAAGTCTTTAAAAAATAACAAAGCACCAGGACCAGGGAACATACCAGCTGAACTAATAAAATATGGCACAACAAAATTATATGAAAACCTGGCTAAACTCTTTCAAAGATACATCAACGGAGCGGAAATCCCAGAAGAATGGAAGACATCATGGATATCCACCATACATAAAAAAGGCAGACGGGATCAATGTGACAACTACAGAGGCATCGCTGTAACGAACTCGATCAGCCGAATATACGGAAAACTGATTAAAAATAAAATCGAAAACGAATATAAAGATATAGAAGCTGAAGAACAGGCAGGATTCCGGGCAGGGAGATCAACGGTAGACCATCTGTTTTGTATTACACAGATTATTGAGAAGAAACTGGCCGTCAACCAGGAGGTGCATCTGTTATATGTGGACTTGAGAAAAGCGTATGATAGCATCCCACAAAACAAACTATGGGAAGCATTAGAGAAAACCAATATAAGCGCAAATTTAATAACAGCGACGAAACAATTGTATACCAAAACTGCAGCAAGGGTGAAAGTTGGAAGCGGACTATCGAGAGGATTCCAAATTAGCAAAGGCCTAAAACAAGGGTGCTGCCTTTCACCGACATTATTTAAGATCTACCTCGAGCAAACTCTAAAACTTTGGAAACGCAAATGCAAAAACATGGGATTACCGATCAACAACAATACAATATACACTTTGTCATTTGCAGACGACCAACTTGTACTAGCGCAAGACTACGATGATATAGAATATATGACAAGGAAATTAATAGAGGAGTACAAAAAAGGTGGTTTGGAAATAAACATAAAAAAGACCGAATATATGTGTATCGGTGGGACACAGCAGGACCTTACACTGGGGAATGGCGAAATTATTAAACATTGCGACGCATATAAATACCTGGGTATGACCATCACACAAGAAGGAAACGTAGACCGGACGATAGAAGAAAGAAACAACCAGGGAAGAAAAGCAATTACCCTTCTCAATAGCATACTGTGGGACCAGGCAATATCAAACAACAACAAACATAGAATATACAATACAATTGTTAAGAGTATAATCACTTACAGCAGTGAAGTATGGCAAATAAAAGAAAGATACAAGAGAAAACTTGAAGCAACAGAAATGGATTTCTGGAGGCGCTCAGCAGGAAAATCAAGATTAGAAAGGGTAACCAACAACAGAATTAGGGAAATAATGAATGTGAAACACACAATAGTAGATGACATTAGTACCAAACAGCTTAGATGGTATGGACACGTACAAAGAATGTCCGAAGAACGACTCCCGAAACAAATCCTAACGTGGACCCCTCATGGTAGACGAAAAAGAGGAAGACCCCGCCTTAGTTGGAGAGAAGGCATAAATCGAAGTATGAGAGAAAGAGAATTAGATGAAGACCTTTGGATGGACCGAAGTGAATGGCGACTAGGCATCGGAAGACGTAGGAGAACGTTTTAAAACCGATATATATATAAATATATATATATATATATATATATATATATATATATATATATATATATATATCTTCTAAAGGCTAGGCTAGGTATAGGTATTTAAAATGGTTTATTTTTGTTATCGGTTCATTATTGACAATTAGTTGTATAGCGCCGAGGTCTTGTTTACTAACCACAAGTAACTTTGTCTTTGTTGTATTTATGCTTAGTCCGTTATTAGAGCATTCTCTAGTGACTCGATCTATAAGGAATTGAAGATCTTCGATACTTTCAGCTATGATCGCGGTGTCATCTGCATATCTGATGTTGTTAATAGATTCTCCCCCGATTTGAACTCCACATTGCCCTTCCAAGGCTTCGTTAAAAATTATTTCTGAGTAAACGTTAAACAAAGTTGGCGACAACACACAACCTTGTCTAACACCTCTTTGAATACAAATTTTGTCTGTTTATTTGCCATCTACCAGAATAGAAGCTTCTTGATACCAATTTAGATGTTGTAAAAGTCTCAGATCTTTATCATCTATTCCAATTATTTCTAGATATTCAAACAGCCTACCATGTTGAACCCTATCAAACGCCTTCTCAAAATCTATAAAACAGACCTAAATTGGTAAATAGGTAAATTTCTTCTTTGCTGGATAAGGTCTAGTATGTTATCGGTCATCCAATCCTTTTTATTTACTGGCTCTTTTTCTGATTTCAAAACTTCGTATGCTATGATAAACATGGCGGAATTCATTATATCTCTATTTTGTCCGATATTTTCTTGTTCAGATCTTTCTAGCTGTTTTTTAATTTCATGATTTATCTTATTTCCAAACTCATCTGGTATTACGGCATGTTTTTGCAGATGTAATACTATTTCTAAACCTTCTGTTAATGATAATGTAGTCGATTTGATTTCTGACCATCTCTGTTGATCACAGGATTTCCAGGCATATAGTCGTCTTTTAGGTTGTTGAAACAAAGTATTTGTACATAATGCAATTCTCTTCTTGACAGAACTGGTATATGAAGGGGGGGGGGGGGGGGGGGGGGGGGGGGGGGGGGGGGGGGGGGGGGGGGGGGGGGGGGGGGGGGGGGGGGGGGGGGGGGGGAGGGGGGGGTGGTGGGGGGGGGGGGCCTTCTTTATGTTTCGTCCTTTTCTATCGTCCCCAAGTCCCATTATGAATATCTAGTTTTTTAAATATATTCCCGGTGCAGTGCAACCAACTTTTTGTGCG